CAACACTTAATATTCCTTAAGGAGAGGCAGTAGTGTTTTCTTTAAGACTCAAGGCCATATTTTTAGGCTTGATAAAAATCCTCCTTGATGTCAGACGCTGAAAACAAAATGCACAAAGTTGCTCAAGGTTGAGACAAAGTTAACACACACACTCAACATTTTGCAAGTATTTTTCCGCCAGCACGAAATATTATTTTTACTGGCTATCCACAAACGGCAAAAGTAAAGGTTTTAAACAGGACATGTGTTCTTTTAAACAGACACATACAGTACATTCTGTATAATGGGATTCCTTTAGTGTTTTCAGCTAAAATGATATTAAGGGAACAATCTTTATTCATGTGACAAATTCAGTTCTACTGAAACATACAGATGAGTGTGAAATAAGCTCCAGGGGTCCACTGAAATGCATAAAAAAACTTGTTTTTGCTTATAAAGCATATCCAATAAGCAACTGGCTCAAGGAATGAAAACTTCTTTAATTATGATACAGCCAGAAAAGCTGCAAGAAAAGAATGGCTCAGTAATATCTTTAGTGCCAACCCTGTGCAGAGTGCAGTAATTCAAACACAGTGTAAAACACAAACTAGAACATCAAAACTATGCTGCTGTGTTACACCAAACCCCTAAAGAGGTAAAAGGTTAAATATCCATTGCATTTAGATTCTGAAGTCCTTGGATTGATAATTGGGTACTTGTGAAAAAAACTGGAAATGGATGAAAAGCACAGTCAGATTAACAGGGATGTAGCTATACACATCAGTAAATCGGCATAGATGAGAACTAGGTACATTGCTAGCATTTTATATCTGGGAAGAGCAGCACGTGTGAACATGTTCTGGATCTTTAGTATTAGTATAGTATTCAATAGTTATAATATTCAGCTATTTCATAATTTAATATTTTAATAAACAAGACAAGATCCTTACTTGTCTCTATTTTATTTCTCAGCTAAGTTCTTAGACACAATATTTACAGGCTCAGCTTGCAGACGATCTAACCATATTTTCTTAGACAAAGTCATCACAGGGTATGTCTCCTGTATCACACTGCTGGTGAAAAGCAAATATTTTCTTTAATCTGAAGAGAGATCTCTTTGCAATAATATTAATTTATCAAGTTTCATAGTGAGGAAAGTAAAATGTTACAGAAAGTCCTTACCTTTACTTAAGCTGAAACAAGCTATAATGTACTTTCTTTCACAAAAGTAGCCAAGAGTGTTCAGTGAAGTGTTTTAGAGAACACAGATTTGTAATTGTTAATGTGTACTTTTTTCCAGTCTCCTTTAGACTGCGGTTTCCATTTTAAACCTTTAGACATAAAGAGGTATTTCTTATGCAGAGGTTTAGCCCAAAAGCCAAGAAAATTAAGATGTTTAAAAAATACCTGAATCTATTGCAGAATTTTTTTTTTAACAAGCTTCATTATATATACATAAAGTTTATTTAATAACTATTTTACAAACGTAGGCATTATTGGAATGTATAAATCAAAAGTCTCACATGAAGGGGTTAATGTATTGGCAGGTGTTGCAGATGGGAATGTCAAATGCAGACACCCACTTGAGAAATACTGAGTCTTGCAGGACGTTTGTATATTGCATCTGCTATTGTTGCATCTGCTAGTTAACACTGATGACCAAATCCATTTTAAAATGTAAACCGACAGGATGAAAGTAAAGAAAGTAGGTGGGTCTTCCTGCATCTCCATTTTACCTTCTTTGCCCCTGGTATGCAAAGCCATCAGCTTTTGCACTCAATTGTGTGCCTCACGCACTATGCTGACAAAACTAAAATATTTCATTAAAAAAAATGTGTCTCAAAACGATTAAATAAATGCAGCTTTACCCAATTATTGAACTGGAAACTATCTTGTTTTTTGCCAAACACGGAAAGATACAGTATCATTCCAACAGTTAATAATGAGCACATGAATGATCAAACAGTAAGAAATCAAAGGGCCACAATGCTTAAGAAAGAGTACAATATTACTAGTCCCTTTTTGTCACACTTATGACAAAAGATACTTATGACTTCAGATTCTGACTTCAATTCTGTATGGCAATTCAGATATGCCATACAGAATTGTACTGGATCTTGACCAGTAAGCCACAGATCATTCTCGAGTCAGGAAAAGACATTCAGTGTTATTCTCATGACCAAAGGAAAATCCAAGCATCCTAAGATTTGTGTTATGTTGTGCTATGACTTAACACCCCATATCCAATCTTATGGGGGACAACAGTACAACATCCATACATTTTCAATAGTTTTCAACCTGTGCAGATGTTGTAAATTGGTTCATGTTTATTTAAGTCTCTAACCAGTCCTCTGTCTTCTCTGTTCTGATAACAGAAGTGCAGGACATTTGAACATACTAAATAATTATTTTCTAGTCTTGTTTTCAATGTTCGAATTTGAGTTTTGTGTCCCAACCAGCTATAGAGTCAAGACTATTATGTTCCATCTCACTATTCAAGTCCTCACTGGTCAAGAAACAATCATTTTTCCTCTTTAAAAGCCATCCTCAGCATTTTGTTAACTTACAAATCTTAGTCAGATCTATTCAAAGACTTACTTTATTTTTTAGGTGAAGAAAGAAATTCAAAATTCTTGCATAACCCACGCATAGAGGTTTTCTTCAAACTCATACATCAGCTTTAACAGTACTGTGTAAATGAGAAGATGCACAAATACCTGAAGTACTCACAGCTGTGGAGTAAGTATTCAAGTTTCCTGCATTTTCAGCCCAGCAACCACATCCATAATGAGCTGCCTAAGAAACAAAGAATATATTATTCTAGGCATAATGCACAAATCATTACTTTGGGTAATGAGTGTATCAAGGGTAATCACAAAAAATGTGATGAGTTATTGAGTCACAGGGGAATTACTATTTCTTTTACATTTTTACACAGTTTTGTACCTATGGGTATGTGTGCAGAAGCATCAAGCATAAATAAGAAGATAAATAAATAATACATAAATGAGCTAAATTAATTTACCATTATTTCCATATGCATTAAAATGGTTTTTGGACAGGGTAGAATAAGGTGACAAGCTTCATACTGGTTGAGAGCCTTTAAACCCCTGCAGGGGAAATCCGATGTCCAGATGTACTGTCAACTGGGAACAAGGGGCAGTACCTGACCAACTCGGCCTGCATGCTTCATTGCTAAGCCTCCACTGGAAACAGCTGCAGCCACATTTCCTTCATGATCCACCACTATCGCCCCCACAGTATCCAAAGACCCTGAGTCATTCTCCTGCAGAAGATTCAGCCATCAGCTTACATAGACAAAAGGAAAATCAACACAGCAGCAAACACAGGGTGGTGCAAAAGCTAGAAACAAAGCAAAAAGCTTTGAAAGACACTCTGTAACATCTATGAATTTCAAAATCTTGTTTATGTATGCCTTCCTTTAACAGTAGCAAATGAGACTAATGTTTCACCTAAGTAGCTTTACATTTGTCAAAACCAAAGAACTGCCTTTCTATTAAAAGAAAATTTAGAATGACTGAACTGCTAATGCAGGACAGACTTTATGCTTGGATACCAGAAATATAAAACATATTGAGCCCTCTCTAGTGGGCTTTAGAAACACTCAAAACAGCTACCAACCAGTCCTTATCAGATACTCCAGGCTAACTGTGTCACTGTTATCGTAAGAAAAGTATTTTACATTCTCCAATCCCAATGTACAGAGTTCAGGTTCTCATCTGAATATTATGTGTGAAACTTTTTCTTTCTCCAAACAGCCATTGAGCCTTTATGCCAACACTAAGCTAATCTCCCCCTCAAAGCCGAAAGGGTCTTGTGGTTTTCACATAACCTGAAGTGTTCAGTTAATTCTACTAATTTACTTATCAAAACTGTTTCTGTACACTACCTGAGCATTTGCAAAGCCAAAGACAAAACACAATCCATGCAGCTTCTAGATCCTCAAAAGGCTGAGCTATTTCCAAGGACAGTATGATTGTTGCTGCTTGCCTTTCTCATTTTGCCCTGGGATCAGCCCTGTCCTGTTTTTACTTCCTAAAGATTACTGCTCGATCTGGTACATTAAGAGCTCGGATCCAGAATATTTTCTCTGCTAAGTGTCTCACTGCTTGTGCAGCTCATAGAAGGGAAACAAGACTAACCCCAGGGAAAACAAGCCTGGCAAGGCAGAAGGTAAAAGAGCTTAAGTAAACAGCAATCAATATTTTATGCTTTAACAAAAGCATGAGTAAAAGTCACAAGGTCTTGCTCTGGGCACATAACTCTTTGAGGAGTGAAAGATACTTAAAACAAAATAAGTAGTAATCATGACAGATGTGACAAAACTTTGCCACCCTTTACACACAGAAAAGGTCATGATTTGGATACAACCTGAGAGTATTTTTCTTTCATTTTTAGGAACTTTTTTAAATTAATTCATTAATTTGATACTTCTAAGAAGCCACTTGGACTAGATACATGCAAAAAGTAATACAAAAAAGTAATTGAACAACAAAGAAAGAAATCACACTTACTCCACTATAAGGCAACAAGGGTACAATAATTTAATTAATACATTATCATCTGCATCTAGTTGAGTTATACAGTTAAATATTGTTAACCTCAGCAACCCACAACTTTCCTTTTCACTAAGACGTCAGTTTTCTTTGTCAAATGTAAAAAGAGCAATTAACAGAAAAAAAAATATTGAGCTGTTTTTTTGTAAAAAATACGACGATGTTTTTCAGAGTTCACCTGTGTGTCTCAGGCTAAAATACAATCCTTGCATACGTTTCAAATTAGTGAATCCAAAAACAAAGCTTAAGAATAGGCTGCTCATCAAAAACACACTTCAGCTAATTTTGTTATTGGATGGTACATAACACTGGGGTGTCCATGTCTGCCAATGCATATGGAACAGGTGCTGTTCTTCTGGTTAAATAGAAAGAGTCTAATCAGAAAACAAAATGTTTTTTATATCTTGGCTAACGCTGGCATTCTTAAGGGAAAAAAAATTATACTGCACAAAAATCAAAAACAGGCTAGCTGTAATCACAATTTATCATGCAATCCACAGCACACCCCTTAATAAACTTATTACACAAAGGGTCGGGTTCTTTGAAAGTTGGTAGTTTTAATCTTTTTTCAACATGCTGAAAGGGATAAGGCTGAAGGCCTGGAAAAAGTAAGACGTGTCTCCTCGTCTGTATAAAATTTTTTAAGTGCCTTCTATGTTCACTGAAGCTAAAAATACTGTGTTGTACTGAGATGTGTCCACACTCCTTGTCCCCCAAACTACATTAGATGGTGGAGGAGGTTAAATATACATTATATTTAAATGTATACAGGGACATTTCTGCTGTATTCCTTACATCCTGTAAACTTATGAAATCCTTACAAAAACTGTTAAGACTGACACCTAAGGCCCTGCCCCATCATCCTTGTCGCCTTTTGAACTCCTTGTCTACTACTCAGTAGGCTGCCTGACACAAGGTTTTGGCTTTTCCTTACCTACACTGCAAAAATGGACACACAGTTTTCACTGTATTCAGCATAACTGCACTACTTGTATATATTGTATACACCATGGACACATAGCAGCTCTATTCATATTGAGTTTTATTCAATTTCTATTACATCTATTATTATGTAACCTTATTTTCGTAACCTCAATGATTTTTGTGTTTTTGTGAATTTTGTGATTTGTGTCACAATTTTGTCACAATCGCTTTTCCGCAAGCTTTTTGTGAGCTCGCAGAAAAGACATTTCATTGCCAGCAACTACTGCTGCATGCTGTATTGTTGTGCATTTGATAAATAAACTTTGATTTGATTTGATTTAAATACATGAAGTTTGAAGGAGTGGGGGCTGGAAAGGGGCACTTAACACATGACCCTGGTGACAGATTTAAGAAGGTGAGGACAGCAGAGGGGAAAGAAATTGAGAAATTAAGCACTGAAAAATGACAAGTGACCAACTTTAAGTCTGAACCCAACACAAGACAGGCTATAATCGCAATGCCTGACTCTATGACTGTCCATGTTCCTTTTCTTTAATGCAGCACTGCCAGATTCTGTCAGAACCAGTTTAGAAACCGAGATATGTTGCAGCTCTTTTTTTATTCCTTGGCTGAATGAATTCCTTATTAAAAATGTACTCTTTTCAAATACTGCGACATAACAGGAAACCATGAAAATGCTGCCAAGCTATTTCTAAGGATGTATTTATAATTAGTCTACTGTGCCACCATTGTTACATAAAAAGGGAAAAAAATGAAAACTGTAAATTTCTTCTCCATTAATGAACATCCCTTTGTCATAGAAAAGGCTTTCAAAAATACCATTAAAAAGGTATGTATATATATTATTGCTAGGACAAGTAGTAAATTCTGCAATTGCCATAAGGGGCTTAATGACAGAGGCTTAGCAGAATTTTTCAAAATGTTTCTTTTCAGTAACTAAGCTAAATGGCTGCCACCCTTGTAGACATTAATAATGCATCTTTAACTCATAACTATCTGGCTGCCAAATATTCAGTCAAGATGAAAGACACAGATCCTTCAAGGATTTGGTTTTTTATTCCAAATTTACTTCCAAAGTAAAGAAAAATGAGCAAATCCATCAAAGATAAACTTGCAAAGTGCAAGGCTTTTAGTGCAGAGGAAAAAATCTCCTGTTTTTAAAGCTGATTGTTCATACCATGCGAATACAACTGAGGAATTCCTACTTTAACTTACTGAATCCCTAGCACAATACTACCTCTTTCGTTCACAGCGCTTCCTTTTAAAGACCTTAAAAAGCTCAGACGTGGCCTGGGAAGCCTTGTGTTTGTCTTTCCAGTTGAATAACAGTACTGGTTGAACTTTATACAGGCTCCTATTATGATTTAATCTTTAAGATTTATAGTTAATAACCCGTGAACGACCTCTGCCTAATTTATTAAAAGCCATCGCCCATACGGCCACATTTCATCCTGCAGGACCACACAGATATCTAGGATAAAGGTAAACCTAGCAGTGTGAGACACAAGCATTTGCGCCACCTCGCACAGCACCGCTCTATCTATACACTTCAATTAACTGACATTCGGAGCAAAAACGATCCAGAAGCCTCACAGAAAGGCCGTTTCTTTGATGTTTAAATTTACCTCTCGCCCAAAAAGAAAAGTAACATGATTAACTATGATACGGTGAAGAATTTACATAATAATTTCAAGATGGTGAATGAAAGGGGAAGCCATGAAAAGGGGGGGAAAAAAAAGATTGATACCCACAATACACTTCAAAGAATACATAACACAGTCTTCGTTCTTTGTGTAACCCACACAGAAGGCTGCAGCTTTAAATTTGTTCCTCTCGGTGAAACTGTACTTGCCACCAGAGCACTCCTAATTGTTCCACAGATGGAATTAGAGGTAACAGGAGCTGTATATGGTGACATCAGTCTGAGGATACAGCAGACACTTGTGCAACTACTGTGCAAAACCAAATCCGCCTATCTAATACGGAAGTGCTTCTGTCATATTTAAACAAATAATTGTGATAAGATCAAACATGTTAACAACTTGTTACATTGTCGGCAATCTGTTTAGTGTGATGATTCACTAAAGAGAGACTTTAAAATCCAAAATAAAATCCAATAGTCCATAAAAGATCTCCCTGGAAGCAACAAACAATGGACCAATGGGATGAAAAGGCCCACAGCACAAACTGACACCATGTTGCAATACAACACATGCAGTTTTCACAAACATCTGTTCAAGAAAATGCATTGAACTAAGGAGCTTCTCGTTTTCATGAATCCTAGTACTTGTAGATAACGGTATGAATCTGAAACAAGCTTTTGTAAAGGGTGTAAAACTACATTATCTTTGGTCAATGTATGCCACACAAAGAAAATATCTAGAAGTCCCAACCCTAAGAAGAGAAAGAATGAAAGTCACTGGCTTTCCCTTTTTCACAACATTGTATTTTCTTTTCCTTAAAAAATAAATGAAGTATCTTTCCATTTATTATATGTGCATTCAGAAAAAGGTCTTAAAGACATATGGTACAGCATGCATGTCATCAGAGCTAGGGAAGAACACTTTTGCTAATATAAAAGTCTTCTCCAATCACAACCCTAAACTCTTCTAAATTTTAAGTACACATTTAAACTTTTATATGAGACTGGAGCATGTTATATCTATATCCGTACATGGCATATATTTGAAATGTCTACTTTTGGAGCTATACCATTTGGCTTTCATTGTAATCATATTCAGAAGTTTTCCTTACTGAAAAAAAAAAAGTGTTTCAGCGCTTAGATTTTGGGCAGCTTTAATAATGTATTTAACTACTTCTGAAGTAAGCATTTTCAGGGAAGCATTTTAAAATGGATGAGGTTCACTTAAGCTATCAGCACATGAGCTAAGCACTGGCAAAATTAATGCTGGCAAGCTGGAATTCTGCTTATCTTACGCATAACAATTTGACTGCACAGTTTTTCTCAATTTTTTAAGGCTTCTGATCAGCAACTTTCAGTTAAGCTTCTGCTGAATATAGCACTCCTCAGCATTGCGTAAGGATGCCACCAAGTGACTTTTGCAGGTATACCTCATTTCTCAGTCACATACCTAGCTCTGTGGTCAGGAGTGCTTGAGTAGGTGGTAACGGGGACTCACAGCTTTGGCCTTCAGACACTAAAATGCCTCAATAGAAATATTTTCATAAGCATTCAAACGTAAATCACAATAGCTGTAAACCAGCAGACTGATTATTCGTTTGTGTGGCTGTTTATTTCCAAATCATTTGGTTTTTTTCTGTAATTACAAATAATTGAAGTCTTTCCTCCCACGTAACTACTGGTCACCAGTTGGTGGTTTGGTTCTCATGCACATTTGGCAGGAATAAATTAGAGGACTCCACATTTCAAGATGTATGCTTTTATCTTGAAAGCGGAAGCAGAACAGTGCAATAATGTAAAGATGAATACAATCATTAAGGCTACATTTAAAAGGTAATATAAAATAGAATACAGCATATTACAGTTGTGGTCAAATTTTGTCAAGCAAACAAATTAATCTTGCTAAAAAAGGTCTGTTTATGATGCCTCTATGCTCACTCCTCAAAGACTGAACAAGTAAAGCAGAATTCAGCAACTTCTATAATACAGCAAAATTCTTAAGATACAGTATTCCTTAGTCACTGCTGAATATCTAATGATATTTTTAGAAAAAACATTTGTGGATAACATCAGTAAAAAAGCTTATATTCCACATTTACTGGGGGAATCTAACATAAATCCATTTAAAAATATTTTAAAAAACAGGCTAAAACTAATATTTTATATATCTAAAACTATTTTTTTATCACTATTTTCTTTTAATTGTTAGATCCTAAGATTTTTTGGACTGATTTGTTTAGTTCTATTGCTGCTTTCATTGGTAGAACAAATAACAAACAGGGTTATATAGGCTTAATAAAGGGTTTACTTATTTGCATTTGTCTATCAAAGCATTTGCAAAAGGATGACATCAAACAAAAATTAGCCTCTACTTTTCCCAACACTACTGCAAGCCTGTTTCATTTGACAGGCAGAATACATGAATTACTAACGTTTTCACTTGATTGTCTTCTTTTCTTTGTCTGTATGAATTCAGTTTCCACCTTTTCTGCCAACTCCATCTTCCGCTTGTTCCTCTTAAATGCTGACAAACTAAACTCTATGTGAGACAAAGAAAGACATTTTGGTATGGCATAAATATCATTTAACTTTTCTTCCATTTTTTCAAATGCACTTTGTCGATCCCAGCAACGGTAATCAATTAACTGTTTCGGATATACTGTTTGCTTCAATACAAACTTTCAGATTTATAACTGAATCACAAACGTTACACAAAAAGCTTCCCTTCTTAAAGGTCATGAACAAAATAGATTTTGACATCCAGGCATCTGTTCTAGACAGCGGTCTGGATTCTTTTTTATCTACATTAACAACTCTTTCATCTTCCCCCCCTCTCCTCCCAGAAGAAGATCCGCACAAATTCTCCCCAAGTTACCGAGGAGCTAAAAAAAAAAAAACAGAACAAAGGGCTGCGTTTGAGAGACTTGGTCAAACTGAGTTTTCTTTTTCCTTCAAAGAGGAAAAGCCTATACTGGAGGCTGAAGAGGACTACCAAGCAAGCGTGGAGGGGCTGATGCTGGGACGGCCCAAAGGACAGAGAAACTGATTGGGTTATTAAGGCTCTGGCCCCACTTCTCCCACTCCCATCTCAACTGTCAGCACCCAAGGAGCACTCCAGCTCTTTGTAGGGGGCGTTATACTTACTGGAGATATACTGAACTGTAGCTCCACTAGGACAACCTGTGAGAAACACAGGGCAATGGACTCATTTCTAAAAAGTTTCACAATTATTTACAACTTTATAGTAGCCCGTGTGTGCCTTTGTTTTACAATGCAATTTAATATATGAGAAAATGTTTCTTCGAGAGTCTTCCTCTTCAAAAGAAAAGTTTGGAGCATGTTAAGCTATTAAAAAAGGGGGTAAAGTAATCTGAATTGCCTAATCATACTGTATATAAAGTACTACTTACCACTGTCTGACAAAGTCCAATGTTACAGTTATGGTCAGCTACATTTTATCCTAACGTTTTGTCAATGTAAGGCTCTGTGCTTAGCCTAAAGCACTGCACAACAAACAGCACATGAGCTGTATTGCAATAATCAGTCTGAAAAAACTTCAAATACTCAGCAGACAAAAGCTAATGAGGTACACAACATCAATAGGGTCCTTCTTACTTAATGAGGGTTTTTTGGAATGGAAAATAATCTTTGGGTTAAAAGTAACTATTTAAAGCAGATCAGAAAAAAGAACGTCATCATTGTTTACAGCCTAATGTTTCAGTTCTAGTCAAAATCTTTTAATCAAAGAAAACGTAGAAATACATTTAATGTAATTTAGGTATTTTACAATCAAATGGAATGCAAGAAGGCCTTATAAAAACATTACAGGATCTTTAATTTGCAATGAAAGAAGTGAACTGCCAAATAAGTAAACAACTTTATTGCTTCTGAAACATTATAGTGCAACTTCTGTGATTATAAAGCTCTAAGTCATGCTTCCTGATCAGTAAATACTAACACAAATGTGTTAGAAACATGCTGTTTGTAGCATGGACTTTTTGAATTGGGATTAAAAAAGAATCCAAATTCAAAAGACAGATGTGAGAACCTGTCTCCTATTCTTCAGATGTTATCTCTCATAAGTTTTGGTTCACAGGAAATAAATTAAATGGAATTCTTTTAAATCGCAGATTAAGTGTAAATAAAATACTCCGATATTTTATATACATCAATGAATACAGTATATCACGTTCAAGTAGTTTCTTAATATTACTGAATGCTGTTGCTCCTAAAAATGCTTTTAGAGTAGGCATAAAATACAACTATTAATTTACCGACTGTCCTACAGTATCTACTGTATATCATGCACTGATTTTTCCATGTAATTTTCTTTCAAAGGGGCCTCCTAAAAGTAGAAAAAACATCAGAAACAGACTTCATGTCTAGTTAAATCTTATTAAGATTATAATTTCTTACAGATGTTTATTATAAAGTGAGTCCCTGAAAATGTAAATTCTTTGTTTTTTTTTTTTGTAAATAGAGCATTGTCCATGATTTATTTTATTATATACTTCAATCTGGGGTAGGCAGGAGCTATCCAGTTCCCCCCTTATTGAGCAAAAACAGCAGAGGAACCCCTGCGCAGTCAGGACAATAGCTTCTTTTCTCTATGTCTGTCACAACAACAAACACAGTAGTGGTCAGGTGTAAATCTGATACAGCTGCTTCTGCTACTGCCCAGTCCCACAGGTGACAAAAGCAAAAGGGATTCTTTGCGTGTCATTTCTCCCAGAAGTGAGATGCAGTAAGGATTACAATCTGTTTGCAGGGCATAATAATGCATTTCTGAGTGTTTTTCAAGTAACAAAGTACTGGAGTAACATTTTACTGAAACCTCATGAAACATTGCTCAGAAGGTAATCTTTTTCCAGTGGTGTGTGCAAGTTAAACAAACCAATAAACACAGAGAACATTGTGCTTTAAATGAAAAATCCAACACATACACAATTTTAAAGTTAGTAACAATTTGAAATGAATACACTGATTAAAATAGCAAATATTTGATTCCCCAACTGCTGTACTTACTTGTGGCCATTTTTTCTGGAAGGCAATATGGTATCCCATGATCACGTGCCCAGTAATATGCTCCTCTTCCAACGAGAAAGCTGGGATAAAACAAACTTCAAACATTCAAAAACACTGGGAGGGATTTGCAGGCTTGCTTTGTAGCCTTTCTTAATGGCTGACTGAAATTGGGATTACAGGATTAGAATTCACAGATTGGTTTAAATCATGTTTAAAATCAAAGATAGAATTGAGGTTCAATTAGTATAGGACTTATAAAGACTAATGATACAGAGCTAGTGTGAAGACAAATCCTAGAGAAGATAAAAATATAAGTGAGAGACCTTAGTCTGCTAGTGACTTGAGTCTAAGTGTTAGAGTTACATTAAAATTGAGATTCTGGGTTTACCTTCGGGTTAACCTTTGTGTGTGAATTTTTCAGTTAGGTTTTAGGAGTGTAGGAGAGGGGCTAAACTGATAAAACAATTGGAAAAACAGAGGATTGGAAAAATTTGGCACAGCAAGAGAAGGTAAAGAGTAACAACAGGGAATTACAAATTATATTATGTATGGACTAGGCAGGACCTTAATTTTTAAAGAATAAATTGTGTCAAAATGTTTCATTGTATAAAGTGTACAACGTTGTAAGGTAAAAATGAAGGAGAAAGAAGTTTGTTATAAGCAATGGTCTTCAAAATCAACATGAGCCATCTCCAGAATAAATGTATGTGTTAAATGGGATTAAAGCTAATCAATGATTAAGGATTTTGTTTCTCTTCAGGTCTAGGATTGCATGTAGAATGTGTTACATTCAGAAATGGGGCTTAGAGTTTTGAATACAAAGTAGGGTATGAATACAAGGTAAGCACATATGAATACGCCTTGAATTCAAGGTGAAGGTATAGAGTCATGAGCACTATAATTTCCTAAATTCATAAACGCTTATCATATCCCTGTGCCTCACCCCAACCACCAGCTTAAATCTTCATCCATACCTAACCCTGGGCATTTACCTCTCACCTTCAAAACTAACCCTAAACCTAAACTACAAACCTTAATCTTAAGACTAACTCTCAAAACCTTCATCTCACATGAATTCTCACACCTTAATCTAAACTCTAAACCAGAAACCATCTTTAAACTAATGCACAGTGCATTGCCCTGACATATAAAGTAATTTTACTGAACCAAAACAAGAAACATCAGTTGAAACATACCCAGCAACAGGTGCCTTCACCTCCCTTGAACCCTTTTGCTAAATTCTCATAGCCTTCATAAAAAAAGCCTTTTTTAAAGGAAAGAAAACAAAAAACCCAACAACCAACAAGCAATTTCCAATTGGAAAGGCAAAAAAACAGTAGCTTCTGAAATAGGAAAGCATCTGTCACTTATATTATTCTTTGGGGAGCAATGCAACAGCCAAGGGAATGTTTCATTCTGCTTCTGATCGCACATTCTTCAACAGCTTGCGCTACAACATGGAACCCAGAGAGGAAGCCTAGCAATGTCCCTGTTGCATTCGGACACACTTCAGGAAAAAAAAATTATAATCCGCAAGAACAAAGTTGCCGGCCCTTCTTTTTAACAAATGCACAATAGATGATATATTACCAACAGCATCTCCATGCTTTAGTTATGAATAGCATTCTCTTCCCCATGGAACAAAAGACACTCAAAAGACGAAAGCAGAACAAAGTAATTACCAAGGAGGAATTCTGCCAGCTGACAACTTCCCTTTCTGGGCTTCACTCAATAGCCTGTTTGCAACTAAGACCGGATTCTTTATGCCTGGAAAATAAGATAATAATTGGAACCATAAGACAGGCATTCCAAAGAAGAGAAGATGTTAATTCAGTTATATATTAATTAATTTTTCAGGAAGATTTTTTCTCACTCAGGGAAATTCTGGATTTACTATGCTTATCCCTGGTTTTATGCACAAGCTTCCAAAATTCTTTTGTATTAATTCCATCCCCTTTTTTTCAAGCAGGGGAAATCCATTCTGGAGCACTGTTCAAAATTAACAATGCAAGCTACACTTAATTTTCTGTAATACTGAATATATTTATATGATATATTTACTTAAAATTGTATTATAAATAGTAACGGCAACATAGGTGCCAACCTTTACCAACTGAGTGTATGAAGAATTTTGCATATTCTATCATTTCTGTTCAGCGTTCTGACCTGTCCTAAAAGGTCTCTGCTAGAATAGTGACTGAGCCATTTCATTTTTAAAGAATTCCCTGCTGTGAGCGTTTTTCAAGTAGGAAGACTAACACTGCAAATAACTGTTAAACACAAGATCTTTAGGATGACTGAGAGGTAAGAAAATTACAGCTCTGCTGCAATTAAAATATCAGCTAACAACTGAATCTCAGTGTCTCAGGAAAAAAACTTGGTTGCTGCTTTATTTTCTCCAAGTGGTGTATTTGCTCTAACCTCAAGGGCACAGCGAACTAACTCAGAAGCATCTTCTATTTTGCCTTAATTAAAAAAAAGGAAAATATAAACTCCACTACAGGACACATACTGTAAATCAAGGAAAGATTTCCTGGTCACACTTTTGTATAGTAATACAAAATAGTAGTTTCACAAAGTTCTGACTTGATTAACTAAAAAACATTTATCCCAGATAGAACATCTCCTACAAACGAAAATCAATTTAAAACACTGTTATCAAAGCAAGTATTAGTTTTTTTTTGCTATAACTTAAAGAAAGGAATCATGTCACTTCCAAATTAATGTACATTAAGCATTACATAATCCTATCATGCTGATTTGTAAACAGGGGCACTAGAATCAGGGCCAGATTAAGGTTTTGTAGGATATTTGGTGGATGTATTTTAATGGGAAGATGGGTGATCAAGATTCTTGAACATTTCTGATCCACAACAAAAATAGCCTCACCTTGCTACATATACATGTAGTCAAGAAGAGATCTTTGTTACAGCTTTTATCATACAATTAATAAACATGGTCATTTTTTCACTGGCCCTAGACAGTGCTTATTAGATAATATGGCCCTGATTAGAATTAGTGCCATTATGACATTTTAGAAATAAAACTAGTTTTGACGCAGGTGGGAACATCAATTACTCAAACGTGTTATGATCATTTCTGGTCAATTCAAGAACAATTACCACTTAAAGCACCAACTGCTCCAAAATGTAAGGACTTTCCATCCATTATACTGGCATCACATTCAATTTCTCCTGAAAGGTTTAAGTTGGAACCCATGCCCGCATTCGTAAATGGCGAATCCTGCAAAATCCATAAATAACATTTTTAATTTTTGTTTTAAATATTACTGGTGGAGGCAAAGTAAGTTAAAAGAGATCACCGGCATTTAATGGAAAAGTAGAAACCAAAATTAAATCACTACTTTCAGTTGTGTTTAAATTTAAAGACAAGGAAAATTAAACACTAACAATTTTATTTTTGGGCTTGTTTATTTATGAGCTTATGCACTTTTTAAGAAAGTCAAACAGCTGTACAACAGCACACAGAATTCACTGAACAGACAAAAAGCACAAAAAAATAGCACAGAAAATTAACTCAGTAGGACCAACAGCAAAATTCAAGTAGTTAACACCTAAAGATGTTTTTAGTAAAAACTAACATTATTATTTCAAATGAATGAAATTCATGTAATTGACATTTTTATAGGCGTCAAGAAAAAGTTTCAAGTTGAGTGGCATTCATGTCTTAGTGTTGTTCACCGCAACATACTGCAGGCAACATTATCAGAAGAAAAGGCGCTATTTTAATAGACATTTGACAATGCTATCTCAAGGGAGCTTACATAACTTATTCCAAATCAAGTGCCTTAAAAAGACTGTTCCTATTTTGGTTCAAAATAAATCTTGCTAGAAACACCACTCATCAAAATCGTAAATTCTAAACTCAGTCTTAATGTAGCATATTTTCAAGATAGAAAGACATTTGCCTAAATGGTTGATGCATACAGTATATTAAGGTTTTATTTTTCATAAAAATTACCTCTAATTCTACAAGTGCTGCTGTGACCGCTTCAACTGCAAGAGCACCAGACTTCAGTTTTTCTACTGCCTGGAACAGAATTTATTGTAAACAAGAAAATAACTGCATCTATTTAATCCTCAAATGTATTATTACTCACACTTCTATAATTATCAGCAGAAGGCCTTAAACTGATGTTGAAAGTATATATATATATCTCAATAGAATCAATTGTGTGAATTATTTAATCAAATCCCATTTGACCTTAAACATTATTTACTCTTAATATAAATGTCATAATTGTAATAATGATTTTCATCAACATAACTGAGCTGCGTGAAGTTGGCCCCCTACAGACAGCACAAACAATGAAAACCACCTCATTTGTTAATGCTACGTTTGCGAGCTATAGCGCCTTGTTTTTTTGGGGTCATGACATCACTCAGCCCCCCTACGTCGTAGGGAAACCAAACTGGTCTCATTCATTAGTGCTGTGTTTGTGCTGGTTTGTACCATTGAATTTAACTTCCCAGCTTCTTTCTTTCCCAAGATATAGCACCTTCTTTTTTGGGGGGTGACCTTGCCCAGCCCCCTTACAACGTCGTAGGGGAACCGGACCGGTCTCATTCGTTAGTGCTACTAGTGTTGAAAGTGTTACTTTCAACGGCACAAACGCAGCACTAAGGAACGAGATGGTTCCCTGTTCCCCTACGACATTGTAGGGGGGCTGAGTGACGTCACAACCCCGAAAAATAAGGCACTATATCTTGGGAAAGAAAGAAGCTGAGAAGTTAATTTCAATGGTACAAACCAGCACAAACACAGCACTAACGGATGAAACCGGTTTGGTTTCCCTACAATCTCATAAGGGGGTTGAGTGATATCACAGAATATCAAGGCGCTATACCTCGGAAACAAAGGCAGCACGAATGCTAATTTTAACGGCACAAACATAGCACTAACGAATAAGGTGGTTTTCATTGTTTGTGCTGTCTGTAGGGGGTAAAACTTTACGCAGCTAGACAAGCGTCTTTAGAGGAATGACTAGTCTACAGAACAAGTTTTTTTTTCCCCCAAACAGTTTGACTACTGCTGTGGGCATTACAGTTTCTGGATTGAAAATGTAACAGGGGTGGCCAATACATATCCTTGTGGGTCACTGTGTCCACAGTTTTTCAATGCAGCTCACATCTTAATAACCCACTTGAATTTATCATTGGCCTAAATTAACAGCTCTTCAGGTGCTGCTAATTTAAAAGACCTATACATTTTGCAGGGCCGCAGCTCTCCGAGACTGGAATTGAACACCCATTAATACCTAGAAAGCACGTAAGCTTTTAAATATGAAATAACAAATCAGCGAGCTAACAGGGCTTCAAAATCAACTCATGACAGTTTACTAGTCTAGTTCTTAACTTATGGTATAACTACACAACTAGCAGCTTTTCTGAGTAACAGTGAGGAGATGGGCTTTTTCATCTTTATTGAGCTCCATGGGACTTGCATGTAGCAGGGTCACCATATCAACAATATAGCATTTTTGGGCAAGGTTTTGCTTTAATGACCTATTGCACTTATGCAGCTTACCAATGACAACCACTTCTGGGAAGTGGGGGGAGAGATTTCTAGTTTATCTAACTGTTTTTTTTTCCCCGTAGTGTTACTTTTGCAATTAATACTCTCCCCATATTGCACTATATTAAAATTGATATTCTATTTTCTATTTTTTAAGTTTTTTTTCCAACTGTCACTCTTCAGTTTTCTTATCACTATCTAAAAAGACTTATACTCTTAAAAGAACATATGTATATTTATATTTAAATAATACATTTGTCTGCTTGAGTTATTTAAATTAAAAATTACCTTCTGACAGGCTCTCTTGCAGACATGTTTATATTCCTTTGCTTTGGATTCAGAGTGGTAACCAGCTCCTGAAAAGTTAAAAATAAAATTACACTTTGATTCTGTGTACACTACTGGAAACACAGGGTTGCTTTATAGTCAACCAGTAATTGACCAGAATATCAGATTACAAACCTGCTTTTAATATCTGTCTGAAAGCAGCAAAATTATGATCTGATTGAACTCAATAATAGGATTGGGACATAGGTCTGGCCTCTAGGGTCTGCAACATTATACATTATAGTTTACGTTTACGAGTTAAGCCTTGATGCTCCTAGGACATAATTATAGCACTTCAGGAATATGCTCTTAACTTTGAAAATTTAGCTATACTAATTTAATAAGCACTTAAAAGCAAAGTCCTGACACTAAATGGCAAAAGCCTGTATTTAAGCATATTCATGACCATGTTTTATTTGTAGTTATGAACTGAGATGTGGTTACAAGATTCCCTTTTGGTTTATCATCCTTTGAAGCTTTCAAAAGTATGAAACTTTGTACTAAAATCCAGGAGGAGGAGGAGGAAGAGAGATTATCACTAGGTTTAGGATACACTCTCTCCAAAGTTTTATTTATAGGAAGAAAGGTTCTTTGAATAATGAACAGAGTCCTAATTTGTACCTTCCGGACACTTATTCGTATCAAAACAATTTCAGCATGACAAGTCCCTGTTTACGAATGCTGTTGTAAAACAAAAACATGAAATGTTTCCAGTTTCTGTTTTAAGAGAACTAAAACATTCGCCAGAACAGATATTTCAGGCTACAACTAGTGATTAATTGTTTTTATGATTGTAAACCCTTCGTCCACTAAATCCTGGTATTTATGAGATAAATACACAGTGTTAAACATAAAAACCTAGAAATGTTGCACCACAAAGACATGCCCACTGCAGCATTCTCATAAATATCGGCTTCTGTAGAGGTCATATTTTTAAGGCCTAATTTGAATATACAGATAGTATTGAGAATTTTAACCAGTAAATAACGCATTTTTTCTTCATAGTGTCTGTGAACTTCCAATGGTATCTACCAAAACCAGAAACTTGAAAGGACTCTAAATAAAAGGGTTTTTATATAAAGTTGCCGAGCACTGATTAACGACTTTGGTTATTATTCGAGAATGGAGCTGCTCAGTAACACTTGCCTGCGTGCACCAGTACGAATCCCATCGACTTCACATTTTTTGACGTAGCTAGGTCGCACTCCGCGGCCTCAGTGCCAACAGATGCATTTACAAATGGAGAAGCTTGCTGCGCCTCGGGCACATTGATTCTTTTCTCCATGACCACACTGTAGCTCCTTCATCATTGTAACCTTCGTCTGGTCAGAGGCCTGGCATCTTACCGAGCAGCAGAGCTCTGCAATTCGAGATAAAGAGCGTGAATGAAACAGGTTAAAAAAGCCTTTTAGCAATGTGGCATTTAACTGTGTAACTACCAATCCTCTAATCGGAGCAAGCAAAAAGCCAGTTCGCCTCGGCACGTCCCTATTCAAATTCCAGCGGTATGAATTTGCATTCGTTTTCTACGAACAGGTTGTTCTCACAGAAATGACTGCAGACTTTTGGAGGATCCAAAAGTTTAAAACAGCATTTCTTTTATTTCTTTTAATATTACTAACATTCAAATGAAGTACCAACCTCTCGTGTCTATGTTGAGGGGTTTGGTAAACTGAGGTGGATGATTTTCAACGATTAGAATCAGGGCTCTTACGATATGCAGCTATTATTCACAAAAATGACCTAAATTGAGTTTTAATTAATACATTCTAGACCTTCCTGCTTTGACGATTGACCAAACATATAAGTTTTATTAATGTATTCAAATAATATTGGATAGGTCCTAAATAACAATTCGTGAACTACAAGTCGAAATACTAGCCTGACATAGTTTTCTAATATCAATGATAAAGCAAGGAGAATCGCGAGACTCACTTTAACCGACTATACCGGCAAGATTTCTTTAAAAACAATTTCGCAATGCAGAGTTATCTACTAGTGCGATGCACTTTGTTGACAAATTCCCTATACAATAATTTAAATATGATTTTTATTTTAAATGATTTTTAAATCCTGCATCCAAACAAATGAAAATCTCCGGCAAGAAACACCGTTTAAATGGAAAATTAAAGCAACACTTTATAACAGCAGTATGTGATGGAGGCGTTTATGTAACTATCTCCGGAGCAAGAAGTGGAAAAGCATGCACTGTGCTCAATATGCATCACTGATCTTTACGAAATTGTATATCATACCTATGAACAAAACATTAATTCACTTCAAATGAATTGCAAAGTGTCATAATTTCCTTTCAACTCTCCTGAAGTTATCAGAGCCCTCTCAATTGCAAGACAGACTTACTATTTTAAATGCATACGTAAACCCACGCACATACTTTGTCTTTTGTATCGTTAAGGAATCATAGTCGTCGACTGGATAAATACATGTAACTCTGCGTTAAGGTATATTGTTCCAAATAAAATTCCCGGCGTCTGTGAAAATTTTCATTTTTTTTCCATGAACTCGGTAACCCTTGAAGAAAATCACTTCCTAGTTCAGTGACGTCACCACGTGCCGTAGCTCTCCGCACTGGAAGGGCTGCGAGATCTGCTGGCGCACATACTCGGCAAGAAAGGCTGGTGAGCGGGTTTCGTGCATTCCCTCTGTTTTGTTTTCTCTGTTTTTTCCAATCAAAACCATATCAGATTAGTTTTCATTTGTATGCAATAGGATCTTAGCTTGCCTGGGATACGCCAGAATTGATGTGTGAAAAGGTTAAAGATTTATGTATCTTGTAATTCATATTTTCATGATCTGTCTCAAATGCTCAGGTATTGTAAACCTGAATTATCAACCTTGAACGGAAGTATAACTTGTTTGTGGTTGTATTTATGTTGTAAATGTCAAAGATTAAAGGTGTATTCTAAGGTAAACTGTGTTTCCCGATTAGTACTTGAAAGTAAGGTTTTAACATGGTTTCTGTGGAAGAAAAAATCAGATCCATTCTTACTTTTCACTAAATGTTGTTTTCAAGCATGTATCGCCTTAAAAATAAAAAAAACAGTAATAGCAAAGTAGTTTGTGTACTTCCTATTTAATGAAATACAACATATTTAATATTATTAAATATATTGTATACTTAATATACAATACAATACTTAATATTGAAATATTTAAAATACCACCTTAAGTACTATACTAATGTACTGTCAACATAACCAAAAACGTAACAATGTAAATAACTTTTGACATCACTAATAAATAAACAGTTGAATTTGGTATTTGATTTCAATTAGTGTAATGTATTTTTAAATTACACCCTTCCACCCGAAGAAGGCTCCACAGCCGAAACATTGTGTTTTCTTCTCTTTTCAGCCTGGAATAAACCGTTAACGTGTTCCTATGCAGCCTGTTCATGCTGCGGCAGCTACCCCACCTGTATTTTTAAATGTTAAATATTGTAGTGTAGAAATACTGTATGAAATCCTGTTTGTGAATCAACAGTAGAAAACAGACACAAATAAAAATTGCATGGATGTCAAGATTTAGCTGGATGACCTGAATGGCCTTCTTGTTTGTCTTATGTTATGTACGAAAATAAGAGTGCCACAACAGCACAGCGGTGAACATTTCAGCCTCACAGTGCTGGGGCAATGGGTTCAGTTGCAGACCTGGGATTCTGTGTGGAGTTTGCATGTTCTCCCAGTGTCCACATGGGTTTCTTCTCATGGTCCAGAAATACTGGTAGGTTAACTGGCTTCTAGGAAAACTGCTCCTAGGTGTGAGTATGTCTGTGTGTCTGGCGTGTGACGGACAGGCATCCCTTCCAGGGTGTATCCTACCTTGCGCCTATTGCTTGCTGGGATAGGCTTCTGCCCCCCCTCCCAAAACCCTAAATTGGTTGAAGCGGGTGGATGGGTGGATGTATTGAAATAAAAGAAGGACCCATTAACTGGAAGGCACTGAGAAATGTTGCAAAAAATGAACTCTAGCAGACAAGGATAATAGAAAGCATACTGGGAGGAGGGGAGAGGGTGGTTCACTTGTCTAATCTTTATGAAATTAAAAACTCATGCCTAAAACCTGCAGCCACTGATCCTCAAACCGTCAAAATGGCACAGAATAATGCTACATAGAGCTCATTAAGAACAACAATAACCTCAGGAAAGTGGATGAAAGACATACCAGCTCAAAATCTAAAGCAAAATCAGCTTGAGTCTGGCCACAGAAAAAAACATCTCAAGAAGGAGACCTTTAGACATTTCACCTACACGTTTCTCCCTAAACAATGAGCATAGCTGTAAGAGGGAATCTAAAAAGTGCAGTATTAAAGCATGAGCTTGATTAAGACATACTAAAGACTTATTAAAGGTCTCTCAACATCATTCATATTCCATATCAACATTTCAATATCAAAGTACTATGGTTTTATTTATGACAGAGAGAACTGAAATACTTTTCTAATTGCCCCCAAAACAACCAAGTAAAACCTCTGCCTTTCTCCAGGTAAGGATCTTTTCTGCATGCTCATGGAAAAAATAATCTATGACAAACTGCGATCTTTCAAAGGAGCGATTTACTGCTCAGAAAGTGTTATAGTACTCTAAAAGAATGGTCTATATTGTGCATAAATACATATGTATCTATAAACATTTCAATCTGAAAGCAGATGTGAGGAATAAAATAAAAAAATAAGTCTTATGGAAAAAGTCAGTGTTTCACTTTCACTGTATGAGAATATTCCGTTTCGTCCAGTCATTGTGCATGGTTATTTTCAAATTATGCCTATGCTATAAAATTTGTGAACACAATACCTGACAATTTCTAAAAACTCATATAACACATGCAACCTTGAACGTTCACTATTCAAGATAATGAGAACAGTTCCACCCAGACTATTTCAACTGCTGTCTTCTGTAATCCGCATGTTTTTTTTCCAAGAGAGATGGAATTTTCAAAGTTCCTGGAGGGATTTTGAAGTGGGACCCCACTGTGTTTCCATGCGGAGATCATATGGAGAAAAATGAAAGCGGTCACCGAACGTCAACTGTGGTAAAGCCTTAAATGTTTAAAACTTAAAAATGAAAATTATTTAAGACTTTTTACCACATTAAATTACTTTGTTATAAACTGGGACATCTTTGCATTTTCAAGATATTTCAGCATTTTGTATCCTTATACTGTTAACTGTTTAAGCAACATCTATCCTTCCACGAAACAAAGGATGAAATGATAGTGAAACCAATTGGTGAACTACATTTTTTTTTAAATTTAGATATTAAAGTAACCTCACATCATAATCTCATGTAGTGCCAGTGTTCCAAAGGAAAAAAAAGTGAATTCAATCAATGTTTCAGCTACAGCAAGCATAGTTACGTGAGACTTTTATTGGCATGTGGTTGTCATTTCTCTAGCTTAGCTTTGATTAACTCAGAGTTGCTGAAGCACACCCACGGCATACTTAGATCTCAGGGCCTTGACCTTAATGTCACCCAAAATCATACAATCATGATTAAAACCAGGCTGAATAAAGACAATCACGAATTCATTTAAATCTTAAACAGACCACCCTATCCAACTAAATAGATTCAAGGTTCAAGTGACAGTCTTTCAAAACTGCTGTACTTAATCCATGCAACACTTATTGGTGTTGGTAGTGTAAGAACAATATCTGACTTTTGGTAGATATGTATAAAAACAGCAAATAAGACAATGCAGTTATTATAGCTTTTGGACATTACTCAATTAAGTTTACATAAAACCACACTTCTATTTTAATGTAATGTGTGTAATGTAAGAGTTTCTAACCAAAAATGCACAGGAATGTATTTCTTTGAGTTTAATGCCCATAAAGATAAGTCTTTGCTGCACATCTGTTGTATCATTGCCTCCATTGAGTATTGTCTATTGGTTATGATGATCAAGTATTGGAGCAAACACCCTTGCAAAAAAAAATCAATGCTATATCAACGCTATGTCCATATTTAATTTACTTGGAATCAGGATCTTGGTCAAACTCTTACTCATTGTTTTTAAAGATGGCGCCGTTTTCGCATGTAGCTCCTTTGTTTGTTGTCTCATAATTTGACTAAAAATGTGCGATGATCACCTGCGATCAACAAACACTTTAGGACCTGCGACTTAGAGCTTCGGAACAGACTTCAGTGGAAACAGAAGTACACAGGTTTGCCTCTGAAGCACAGCGCAAACAGGTACACGAACGCAATAGGAAATGGTTTAAGTGGCGTTTTAGCGTGTCTCCAGCAGCATAACTGTCGCCCCCCGCTCACCAGCATCCTGCTTGCAGAAGTGCAATCGCTCTACACTAAAACCAACAAACCTCCTCGTTCTGCTGTCTTCCGTTTCACTTGGTTGAAACCTCTGAACAACCCGATGGATTCACACAATACAGAATGGACCGAACAGCTGATTCTACCGGCAAGGACAAAAGAGGTGGAGTGTGTTTTATGATTAATAACCTTTGGAAGCGGTACTCAGCAAGCTGTACAGTGCCACCAGCATATTTCCCCTCGTGTTCTGAAAACCTGTGCACATCAGTTATTTCCTGTGTATAAAGACCTTTTTAACCTCTGTCAGTCATATCTTAGTGCTTCAAGAACACCACATTTGTGTTGCTGACCAAGAAGACTAAGGTATCATGTTTGAAGGATTACTGTCCAATGGCACTCAGGTCTGTGGTCATGAAGTGCCTGGAATGCCTAGACCATCTTCAGTTTGCTTATGGCTCAAATAGGTCCATTGATGATGCAATATCTCTAGCACTACAAACGGCCCTCAAACATTTAGACAGGCAGAGCACGTATGTTAGGATGCTGTTTATAAATTACAGCTTGGCTTTTAACAATTTTTCCCTCTAAGCACCTTCCCTCCCAACACTCCTGAATCTGGGCTTATGCATCTTACTGGAATTTTTGATGAGCAGATGTCAGGTGGCAAAAATTGGTAACAATATCGCCTCTGGTGCACTACTAGAGCTTCTCCAGGCTGCCGTCTCAGCCCTAGGCTGTGCTGCTTGTTCACCTCTGACTGTACAACCATTTACATCAGCAACCACAATATTAAGTTTGCTGATGACACTACAATTATTGGGCTGATCAGCAACAGTGATGAGTCCGCATACAGAAGGGAGGTGGAGCATCTGACAAGGTGGTGCCATGATAACAACCTGGCCCTGAATGTCAACAAGACAAAAGAACTCATTGTGGACTTCAGAAGACCCAGAGGAAGTCACACCCCAGTCATTACTGAGGGCACAACAATGGAAACTGTCAGCTGCTAAGATTCCTCAGACTGCAGATCGCCACCAACTTGGATTGGTCTCACAACACGGAAGCCAGTCTGAAAAAGACACAACAGTGCCTCCACTTTCTGTAGTGCCTAAAGAAATACGGTATGGGAAAGTAGCTACCTTTTAGTAGTGAACTTTACCGCGGCACCACAGAAAGTATTCTATCTGGTGATATCACCATATGGTACGGAAATACTACCAAACAAGACAAAGTTGCCATACAAAGGGCGTGGTAGAGAGAATTATAGGATCTTATTTACCATCAATTGATGAGATCCACACCATCCACTGTGCAGCAAATCCCGGTTATTCAGGATTCCAACCATCCCCGTAACAAACTGTTCTCCCCCCTACACTCTGGCAAGAGGTACCACAACATTAAAGCATGGACCACTAAGCTTAAGAATAGCGTCTATTCTATCGTATTGTGTATCATTAACAGATAAAACTGTATGATGCCCCAATTCAATGCACCTCTGCACTTTTTACTTGGCTACCATGTATCTATTGTCCTATGTGTTTATTGTTCTGTTGCCAGTTGTATGTTACTGTGCTCTGTTGTACTGTCATTATTATTTTTACTGTTTTGTAACGTACTGTGCAGATTGTGTGAAAGTTCTGTCTATCCTGAGAGAACAGTGCGAATAACAATCCCAGTGTAGATGTAGATAATGGCATATAAATGTCTCTACAGCTCGAGTCGCAGCTATAAAACGTATGGCTTAGAGGTTCCCCACCAATAATAACAAGTGGAAAAAAAAAGAGAAGAAAAGATTGTTACACGTTAGATCTGCAGCCACTGAGATCCATTCACCAAACAAACCCCTTCTTTTCTCTTTTAGATCGGACGTAAATGCCAGGATTATTGTATATTAAGTAGAAGCAAAGCAATTACACTGATTTAATCTGTACATGTGGAGCTAATGCCAGATCTGGGACATTCTGAGCATCTATTAACCTTGGGACCTGCCTCCCAGATATCCATAGCACAATATGTCACAGAGATGGGGAAAAAAAAAAAACACAGGTTATCTAAACAATTTCTCCAAGTGAAGTCATATCATGTGTTCAAAAACAGATGGCTGTGAGGACCTAGGTTTTCTAAGCAATTTATGAAGGAAACACTTCAGTGCGCATCTGTGCATTAACTGATCTTTGACCTTTGCTCAAGGCTATTGAGATGTAACCATTTTTAATTGTAAGATGCATTTAAAGTTCAGTAGAAAAAAAACCCAAACGTCTAGATTTCACAGGTAGTTTAACATTTGTATTCTTTGACAAATTTAAGAACTTGAAAATGTTTTGACACTTATTCCTGGTTAATCAATTGAACAACTGGAGTCAAATAATTTTCCTCATTCTTAGAGAAAGATTTTTATAGTAGGATGACTGCCACAGTTTCACTTCATTAATTATAATGAACATGTTAAGTTTACAAAATACTTTTACTCCTGTTGTGGACTACAGCTCACAAAAAGGAGAAAAAAGATGCACCACACAAAGATTTTCTCGTAAAATGCAGTGAATAGCTCCTCAGATACAGGACTATAGTGCTAGGGGTGTTTTATGTTGGATCAAATTACAGGGTGGTAAACAATCTTTAAAAGTGATTTATGCTTTATGTTGGTAAGTATCAAAAAAGTACTTCAGACAATAGAAGTCTTGGATAGAGTCCCTTATAAAAAATGTTAAGCTACAAGGCTACCATATTAAGTCAGCAGTCAAACTTAAATTATCAAGAATATTGTAAAATGTTTAAACAGTCAAAATTTTTCACATATCCAAAATAATATTATGTACCAAATTATAAAGTCTCTAAAAGAGCTGTCTTTTGTCATATTTACATCAATCAAAGGTAAAATACTGCCGGCATGATTCTAAGGGAATTACCGCAACACTCTTCTTAAGAAGTGGACTCGTGTACCTGAAGTGGTTCAGCAAATGACATGAGAAAGTACTCTGGGATATTAACATGGGTTCCAAGTTAAAATAATAAAACATTAATAAAATGATTAGTGTAGATTACTCTTTTTTGCTGCAAAGCATCTTGCAATTCTGAGCAAGCTCTCAAAATTCTCTAGGTTTGTCCTACGGGCTTTGTCATTTTTCTTCTTCACTGCTGGCCAACTGTTTGTTTAAAAGATTCGTGACTTTGGTTGTTGTCTGCATGCTCTGGAAAGATATAAACTCAACTAATTTGCCTTTCAGGCCAAACTGAAGCCAAAACAAGAGCACAGAGAGTCTTTTATACAACATAAAAGTCATCATCCGAAGTTTGAGCTGTTCACATTGGCGGCTTCAAAGAAAGCACTTATACCACCACATTCCATTGGGGTTTCACTTCAAAAGGCTTTACTTACATGACACTTACATTATATATTGTCATCTTCATGTCCAAAAATTATAATGTCAATGGGACATTTTCAAATTAGAGCTTTTTGTTTTAAGTTAAAATGACATCTTGTTTAGTTTTACTTGAATTGTTAGAGGCTTTCTCATACGCAAGACCTTCTGTTATCCCTGTCAGTGGAAAAAACTCATTGAAATCAGCGTTGCTGGAATAATGGGTATGCCATCCAAGAGAGAAGGCCACAGATTTTTATCTCCAGCTCCCTTGTCCTCAAAGAGCCAGAGCTTAACCATGTTAAGATACAGTATATCATGCCATACTTTTTCTCCCTTTTTTCCCTTCTCTGTCCACAACTACTTTGTTTTCTGTTTTTTTCTCGCCTGAAACTGCTCGGTTTTGCTCTTGATGGATCTCACGAGCATGGAGAGTCCTGCGTCCATAGTTGTCTTGGAGCCTGCCTTTAGCTTGCTAGGGCTCTCCTGTTCCAGCTCCCTCTCCTTCCTCTGGGCAGCCTCCTCCCTGCGGCGCCTCTTCTCCTCCACGATGCTCTGGGTGGCCTTGGTCTTCCTGAAGGCGGGCTCAGAGGGGTCCAGATTGAACAGGTGGGAGGTATACATTGCCTGGAACCGGGGATCTTGCACATCAACCTGCAACCAAGGTAAGAACAGGTTAGCTTTTAGTGCTGCACCATCCAAATTCAGATTTAACTTACTTTTCTGCAAAGGGTTACTGTTTTTTTTACCAGTCAAAAAAAAGCTCCAATTATCATTTTACTAATGCAATATGAATCAGGACAATAAGCAGTCAAACAAAGAGGTTAAATTAAGCTTCAAGTACAGTGCTTATTGCCCCATTTAATTTTCTCATTAACTGTTTCCAATTCATTGCACTAAAGCAGATAATATCTTCCACCGAACATCTGGCAACATTTATTGCGAAATTTAACTGAGATGCGTCTTATTTACAGCAAATGGACGGTTTGATCTTGATGTTAAATAAACTACACACAGAAACTAAGTGCACAGCAATATGTAAAATGTTTTCAAAAGGTTTACAAATCTTTGGTGGTTATGCAAGATACTGTTGCTACAGGCCTCAAGAACAATTATACAAACATATATACAGCTGTAGCATGGATAATATCATACAAAAAATATGTTACATATGCTTCCATCTCACAAATACAAATTGAGTAATTGAGGTAAATCAATGAAATATTTGGCTGTACCAATGAATAAGAAATATAATTCAATAAGAAAGGATAAAGGCTCTAACCTCAAAGTTATCTTCTTCCAGGAGCTCATTCTTTTTCAAGAGCTTCTTCTTCTTTTTCTTGCTCAGGTTCTGCTGCTCCACAATCTTGTCGTAGTTGAAATGCTTTCGGTTCTCATCCTCATCGTCATCCATCAGTAAAGCCATTTCAGCCTGTGAACATACAGGCACACCTCCTTAATTTAATATCATTAACATCCTTCTGTCCCTCCTTGTACAAACCTCGTGGGGTTTTTCTCTAGAAGCAGGTTTGAAAATTAGGTGGCCGATGCAATCCAATACACTCGTACCTGTTTTTACAAAAGTAATTTGTTCCCGGAAACTCTTAGATATAGTGAAAATTCATAAAAAGAAAAACAAATTCCATTGTTTCTTACAGGGAAAAATTACAGTTCAGACCCCAAAAATGTCAGCCCTTCTTTTACTTTTTTTACAAATAAATTACAGAAGAAATAATAATAACTTACATTTATACTGTGGTTTGTGAATTTTATTCATGAAAAAACTGCTTATTTACAGTAATTAGTTTAATAAAACCTAAGTATAGTACTGTATAGTAACCACTTCATTTGCTTTTTGTGTAATTCTGTAATAAAAAAATAATTTTCATAAACACCTTTATGGTGTGATGATACAGTCTAATCTGCAAAGTAAGAGCACACACAATGGCGAACAATGCACAGAGCAATATGCTGTGAGCTCTATCACACATACACTGTCTCTGCTGCCACTCCATAGGCTTTGCATTTGCTTTTAACACGTTATGTTATGAAACGAGTCGTACCTTCCTCTTCACTCTCTACATTTGGTGGTGGGGGGGTTTCGAAATTGTTCTTTGTATCGCTTCTTCACAGTTTCACCGTTGGCTTTCGTTATTCGAAATGTGGGTAACCATTCACATGCTTTGTGGTACTGATTTTTCATTTAAAGAAAATGAGTTAAAAGAAGTCCGGGTGTATCCATTTGAAGATCAACTGGTGTTAACACTGCACGTGTAACAGATCCACGACAGTAAGGTTTATTATCTTCATATAACAGCATTTCTTATTTACTCCTGTAGAATTTTTTTATCTTTACATGAACATTTTGTGGATAGTAGTATTTCTATAACACTTTTCAGCTGCAATCATTTAATGCCAGGAAAATGTAAAGCTTGACTATAACATTACCCTTTGTTTTTCTAGCTCTGCCTCTTCTTCTGGAGTTCTCTCCTCCTCCCTGGATTTTTTATTCTTCTTAGCCTTGCTTTTATTCTTCAGCGCTGTTCCTGGCACAAGACAGGTAAGTACACAGATGTTAAACCCTCACTGCTATCTTCCAGCAGGTCTGTATTTCCTTTTGAAGCCTGTTCATTTCTAAATTACTAATTATATATTGGTGCTAGAAGATAAATGCTTTTCACAACACGTACTGTCCGTAGTTTTGTTACAAATCATATATTTTAGTCAATAAGCATCAGTGTTTATGGAAAATTGTATTAAAAAGGTTTATCTATCAAAACCAAAGCAGGGATGGGAAGGTTGACCTAGCAGTTCCCAGCAGATCTCACCTCCTTTTCCCAGTTCTTCAGCAAAATAAGGGTCATCAAGGTCAACATCAGGAGGCAGGTCATCATCACTGAGATCAGACCCAACAGCAGCCTGCAACACCAAGTCACATGTTCTGAGCTGTGCTGACAGTTCCTTAAAGTCATACTTAATAATACTGGGAGGCAACAAACACTATTATTTCCAATACACATTTTACTTTTTTAATGTCACTGTATAAAAGGTGATTATTTTTAACTAGTAGAATTTTACATCGTCAGATTAACAAAAACCCCTTTTCAGGTCTTTTTAAGAGTTATTTAACTGCTGAGGCCTTCTCTTTTTCTAGGACATTTTTAAAAGAAAAAAAAAGTTAAATAATATAAGTTTTACTTTAAGTTAATTTATAGCTTTAAATGTAACAATAACATGGATGTAGTCTAGCCTAAATCAACTAGACAGAGACCCACTTGCTGGTGTTATTCTTGTGAAGAAATTTTAACAATTCAAAATGGAAATAGCCACATTGGAGTTGAGAGTAACTACCATGCCTACACTGTGTTCATAAGCAGAAACATCAAAATAAAACAAATACCCAAATCCGGCATTTGTTGTGAAAACAGAATTTCCAGCAGCACAAAAATGCTCCCAGAACTCTGCATCTGTAAGCCAGCCAAGTGATCAAAGGTAAAAGGCTCTGGGTGGACCAACAACAAGCTTATTTTCTTTAATCATATATGCTTGGTAATGATGTTTATTTTGGCTCTCGGAGCCTGATGAAAGTATGCACAAGGCCGTTAGGAGTAGTACTGAAGTTCTGGATTTCAAGGGGTGATCTCAGTGTGGCACACGGTTTCTATGCAAACAGACACTTTTGAAGGGCATTCCAGAGCTATAGTTAATCTCAACTTTGTGTTCTATGAACATTCTGCAAAGGGAGCTGCAAAGGATGGAATCTCTTTAATCTGTAATGAACTCAATCAGCCTTTAAAGATCACAGATACATAATTAAGGACAAGGCTTTTTTTCCCGACAAGGCTAGGCAACAAATTTTAGTGAGAGCTCCCCTTGGGAGTACTTTCTAACTCTGAAAACATTCTATCCATTCTGCAAAAAGTGAAGGGACAATATCAATTAGCCTTTAAACGAACCATTAATCCCCTTAAACTCTGCGAGATCCCATACCACATGTCAAAAGAGTCAATGCTGTGCAACAAAGCATCATGTTTCCCACTGGCCTTGGTCAGGCAGTGATACTATAGTGATAGTTCAGCTTGTTTTTGGGTTCTGAGAACTCAAACTACAAGTGCTTTTACTTGTTTAGCCACCTGTGGGCACTGCAGGCTACCTTTTTTACCACTGCTTTCTGGGATCCTCATTGCACCACTTTCAGTGGCGTTACATTTCTCGGGATGTTTACCTTTGTCCCTTCCATCTTCTTTTGTTTTTTCTTTTCTTTCTTCTTCTCCAAATACTCTTCCCATGGAGTCAGTTTATCCTTTCCTTCCAGCTTCCTCTTCACAAGCTGCTCAGCTGTCTCTTTGAGTCCTGAAATCTCACACGCACACCAAAGAAAAGAAAAACGAAAACGACAGTGGGTAGTGAGAGAACTTCTACTTCAAACAATGTCCACCCCAGAAAATATGTCCTTTATATCACAGCTATCAATCTGTCAAACGGGCACATCTGAACAAAAACAAAGAAAACCAGAGGCTGAAAAGGAAATTTCCAAACTGGAAATTCTTCCCTTCCACAACTGCTGAGTACCCAGCGGAATAGCAATAGCAACACTGAAGCAATCTTCTAGGCAGTTAGACATTTTTCATTTTTGATATCCAGGATTCAGTTAGATATGACTGTTCTATGGTTAGCCTCCATTTGTGGGAGAATACAGTTCGTGAATTTGGCAGAGGATTTTGATTAATATATTTACATGAATACCCACAATACCCACAAAAATTCATGCCAGTTTTTATCCATTTGCAGGACTGCTTAGCATGATTTGAAAATAGTTATGTAAAACTATGAATAGAAAAGCTTAACACGACAGCAAAATAACTAAAACCATGAAGAACACATAGTTTAAAAAGCATATTACTTAGTAAATCTGTCTTTACAATCTAACACTAAAACAAAACAACAAGGACCATGATTAGAGAAAGCCATAAACTGTACCGTGCACTGAACTTTCTATGGTTTTACTGTCCATTTCTCTGTGGAACATTTAGGCTCTATAGGAGTCTGCAGAGTGAAAGACACATCCAATCTCAGACCATCATTAATTGGCAAATTCTCGTAGAGCTAAAACCCACTCTCACGTATTCTCTAATCAGCTTGGTCAGCTCATGGCATGACCCCACCAGCTACCAGGGGTCAGGACTCCTTTCTTGTTAATGCTTTGTCAGTTTGTGTGAGGAATTATCCATCCATCTATTTTCTAACCATTTTTTCCCCAATTAATTAAAGGCCACGGATAAGCCAGAGCCCATCCCAGCAAGCAATGGGCGCAAGGCAGGATACACCTTGGCCAGTGCACCAGTCCATAGCAGGCAGACACACAAACACAGTCACGCATAAACTCACACTTAAGGCCAACTCTACCAGAAGCCAGTTAATCTACCAGTATATTTGTGGGCTATGGGAGGAAACCAGAGCACCTGGAAGAAACTAAAGCACACACGGGGAGAACATACAAACTGTGAGGAATTTGACCTTCCAAAATAAATCCAAACTGTTTGAGTTTTATTAAGCTCAGGGGAATTTGGGGACTAAGATTAATTTCTTGACTTATATAAGAAAAGAATACTTGAAGATTGTGAAGAAGTGAAGATCGATTAACTTTAATCCATTGAGCCATCTGTCTCCCCTTAAACTGTGCAACAGGATCCACACTTCTTTATTTAATATTTTAGAGCCGCAATCTTCCTGACCACTTCCTAAAGCACAAGATAAGAAGTGATGTTTTTACAGCACAAAAGTAATTTTTGCTTGCCATAAAGACGTCTTGAAGTGGAGTAGCTTAGTGTGAAAATCTTTGCTGCAAATCCTTCATTACATGCAAAAATAAACAACCAGCAGGCTATTACACAAAGTTCTGCCAAAGCAAATCCCAGAGGAATCCTGAAAGAAAACCCATAAACGGGTTGTATGTATGTATTTAGTAACAGAGATTTGACAAATTCAATTTGCCCTTGCCAGAAAATAGTGTTATAACCTAATCTTAGCAATCATATTTTAGTACGCTCATGTCGTTTAGGGATTATATACCATTAATCTTGTTCTTGAAAACTTTAAAAAGATGTCTGCAGTGAGAATCCAGATGACATGAAACAAACAGCAGTTTCCACAAGTTCAACACACTCCAGGAATAACAAGTATGAGCCTGATAAGACAGATGTTTATGTGGCAAGATGAAAACATTCTGTTATTTGGTATATTGTATATAAAATAATATTTTAATGTAAAACTGCTGTTAAACCATTGCATTCTTGCCCATTTTTAGATGCAACAACAGATTTGCAAAGGTTAACTATGGTAAGCTTTGATATCATTTTAAAACACACCTACTCTATTTAACAGCTGCAAGTTGGGCTCAAACTATAGTGAACACTCCTCTGTATGGATTACAAAATCTCGTCCAACAACTATGTTGTGACAAGGAGCAGTAAGTTACACAATCTTTTTTCCAGGGCTGTTTATATCAGGTAGTTCTTGCTTTCAGATTAAATACACCCTTTTTGTTAACACTACTGTCATATGGGAAGTCCAATGCAAATTCTTAAAATTGTTTACTATTCACTTTTCAATCTGTTTTCATGACCTACATGTTATCATTAGCTAACCAACCATAAGACTCCCTGCTTCGTTGTTATTACATCTATGGCTCAGACATTACTGTCCAGTATATCCTTATTTGGGATTTAATTTTTTTTCTAGCCTAAGCTTTCTAGCCTAATCTAAACTTTGTAGCTATTACACTATAAGTGTTAAAACAGACTGTTCCTCTCTTAAGCCCTCACCTCTTTTCCAATAATTATAAAAGAACAGAAGACATTTCTTTAGTAGGAATAGCTGCACTGGAGGACCATCCCCTGATCAGAGCCTATTTTGTCACACTGTTAGTTCTGATCATAAAAAAGCCTTATCTTTTTCTGAATAGCCAATGAGCAACTTCAGTAGGTACATATTCATATAGACCAATTAAGATGAATTGGAGAACTGTCTCCCAAATGATCAGCAGATAATCTAGATCCTATCTATTGTAATGCTTGTTCACCTTTCATTTCATTACTTGAGGTAAACAGCAATAAACTTCAGCTCGTTTTACTACAACTAAAACCTTGAACTAATTTTTAATTTAAGAGGATTCAACATCAACACTTATGTACATTATTTTATTTCTTTTGGGCCCGATCCGTCATTCCTTAGTGTAGTTCATACTGAGGCTTTACCAACACTACAGTGGGTCTATGGCTTCAAGCAGCGCTGTACTCCGTGGGGCTCATGAATTACCTATGTGTAAGACAATACCAGCCCTATTCACCTGTATTGACAGTACAGGCTTTAGAATGTTAGCATTGTATTACAGTAGAATTTGAAAAAATGGCAAAAAAAATTTTTTTAAAGAATCATACTCTTTAAAAAAACAAAACACGTTTGAGTGACTAATAGATGCCAGCTGCGTGAAAAAAATTAATATTAAAGGAAAGCACATATTCTCATGTTTTAAAAATGTAAACCACTTGGATTTCTTTCTGTAATATCTGTATTTTTTCTGAATCCTGCCACATCTAATGATAAGAATGATATTCATTTTAAGCTATAGCATTTAAGAAGCCAAATCTGGCGTTACATACAATAATGAAAGCTAAAACCCGAAAAATTATTTAATACTAACGTTACCTGATTACTTTCCTTTTGACTGATATTTTAGATGAAGAATATAATTGAACATATGGTGGCATGTCTGTCTGAGCTGTTTTTAAATTGTGTTATCAGCAACACTATCTTCATAATACATACCTTCTTTATGATTCCCACCATTGAAATGTTTTGTTACAAAACAGAGAAAACAAGATACTGAGGTAATATGAGTGAAAAAACAGTAAATCTGATGCAATAAGGAAAAATTAATTAGACTTTTTTTAATGGCGTAAGTCTTTTTTTATTTTTGCACAGATGAGTAGCCAAATTGCCTTAGGTTTGGAATATAGTATTTCAACACAACCATTTAAGATGAAACATCCTTATCCTCAATAAAAAGAATCAGTGACATAAATCACAGTATCAAGGTTCAAGCAGTATGAAATAGCCCTAAGGCAAACATATAAATCTATTAATTAAATATAATTTAAAGTCAATGAAAAGAAATTTAATATTTTTCCAAAAGCAAAAAAGTTTTTTCCGATTAATGACTGTCACTTGGAGACAACCTAAATTTAAGACCTTAACTTCCAAGGTAAATAATCCAGAATTCACAACTTAAAATAGCTACCTTAAAACTTTATAAAATGAAGTAACCTTAAAAGTAGTTACTTCATTTTATAAGCAATTAAAAAATGTCAAAAGGTTTATTTTCTTAAATTAAAGCAGCTGTTCTTTGCAAACCTAATCTCTAAACTAGAGAAATGTCAATGTTGACCTTAGATTAGATAATGTTCCTTTGCACTACTCATGGATCTGGAACTACTGAGATTGAGAACAGTGATATTATTATAAAAAAAAGAAAATAAATTTGGGGCAAAGGAATTCTGAAACGCTTAAGAGCCACATCAGGAGAGGACACTGGTTTACCTGGAACCCATGAGATTTCCATTTCCATGTCTTTTTCCTGGTGTTTCCCGTCTTTGTCTTGAATGCTTTTGAGCAGATCTCGGTACTTTGCAATCTGCTCCGCATCATCTTTTGGGGCTTTCTTTGCCCGCTTCTCTTCATCATCTGCATCCTCAGCTAAAGAAGGGAAGAAACCGGAATCTTAATCCATTTCACAGTGCAGATCAGTTTTTATGGCTATGCTACATAGGTCTTGGTGTAAGATGAGGTCAGGGTTCTTAATAAACACAAGGAAACTCTAGTAAATATTTTTATACTTCCAGAAGGGGAAATGCATTGCGGCAGAAGGCTTCAACTCATATAACCTCAGTTTAAAACATTCTAAACATTTTTACAAAAATGTGTTAGATATTTTGCGAACTGTATATAAAAATATATTCATGGTTTTGTATGAAATTTGTAAAATGGGTTCCACATGAATCACTTAACTCCACATTTTAGAAACAACTCAGTAAGATGAAGTCATTTACAGTGGATGTTTAAGCACTGATCATAAACTCTCCTGACTGAAACTGCTGCAACAGTTTTACCTTCGTGATCTGACTCTTCCTCACTAGAGGAAGCCAGGTAGGCTTGGAAGTCCATATCCATAATCTCATCCTTCTTGAACTTCCTATTGAGCATGGTGACGCGCTCGTGGTCTGTCTCATCCCAGGTCAGCTCCACCTGTGCCAGAGGAAAGCCTTATGTCAGCACAGGCCTACTTCAACCTGCCTACTCACAGCTACTCTTGACTCCCGAGACAAAGCACCACCACACTGAGTGCTGAAGACTGACCAGAAGTCAAGAGCAGCCAAGGCTGTTAATAGCAGCTGATATCCTCTTCCTGGGTGACATATAACATACACAAATTTTCATTGTGTAGAAGTACACAAAAACATGATGATAAGGTAAGCATAAAGCTACAAGTGCAGTGCACAACAATATAAAACACTAAAGCTACAATACATCAAGACAAGATTACAGAGCTAATATAGCATACAAAGCAGTGATGTCATCCTTTGTCGGTGTGTTTTACAGTGAATAACTACAATTAGCAAACTGCCACACCAGTTTCTGAAGCAAGAATACTGGTACTAAAGTGTGTAAGAGTTAAAGACTTAGAGAGATGAGACATCACCCTACTGACTGCAGAAAGGTGGTTAGTGACTATTTGGATTTATGTGGATAATTTACTTTATCACCGAAGGGCAAGGGTGGAGAAAGACTGGATCCTGGACATGGGAGAATGGAGTCTGGGTACAGGACAGCTGGTGGAAAAGTAGGAGGGGAGAGGGCAAGAGTGGGTGTAGTGAGAATTAACAGTATTAAGTTCCTAAGATTCTGGAAACCAGCAAATTAAGTCTCCCTTGGCAGCATGCTGTGGGATCTGTAACAGTCCTACATTTGTTATCCACACAACTCTTGGCAGTATCAATTTCAACTTAACACACCTATTGGAGCAACACCCAGTATTAACAACACAGTGAGGCTGGGCATGATATTAGAGCCCTTTCAAAATTGTCAACCTCACTCTGTAAAGTACTTATCATACCAGCAATTATCTGTAATACAAAAACATAACAAAAGGTATGATGGTCTACTACCACACAACCTTTAGGTCCATTTCTTGTGAATAATCAGTCCTCCTTTGCACTTCCAGGGTTTTTAGGGAGAAATAATCCGAGTTTAGCAGAGAGATACAAAGGGCTTCATGTCTTCTATGAGTAGGTTTATCAAGAGCTCTTGACTCTTATTCGTTTGAAACAGCTCACACGTTTTCCTGCCCACCCTACCTTTGAAGTTGCCACTGCCGTTGAACTAAAATATTTTGGCGTATATGAAGCCAAATCAACATCTGACGCAACATCTTTTGGCTGCTCGTCAAATGTAATATCGTCTGGAATAAACCTGTGAAAGAAAACAGAAGCCATAATAATTCAGGAGGTGTGTCAGAAACCCGCAGGAATTATCAAGCAATTATGTTTCACCTACTTATACCGCAATGGAAAAAAACAGGCTTCACTTCATCCATTTAAAAGCTTCCCTGATATTTCTGGTTAGTAAGTCACAGAAAACATTATTAAGACAAATTAAAAACAGACAACTTGAGAGCAAATTATTAACTGGCAATTTCACATTTAGAGAAAAGTGAAGCTCATCATAAGCTACCAATTGGTGTGACAGTTTTCCTATGAAGCTTACAAAATGAACCTTTGTTTTGACCTGAACATTGCAATGGTATTTAGAGCAATGCTGAAACAGTCCAATTGTGCCGTGACTTTGTAAATTACCACACATAACCATGAACACTGCTCTCATTTCACTGGAGACATGAGTTAAATTTCGTCCCAGGCGCCCAGGGACAACGCACATAGGGTATTATTTCTGCTGAATGCTCAGTTCTCTTTCAGAAATAGATCAGAATACATAATAACACACCAAAGAGTCCCCTACAGTCTTAAGGGAATACAGATTAAACTTTCCCAATTGTAATTCGTGAAATATGTTCAGTATAAACATACTTTGAAATTCAGCCTGAAAAGCATTAAGAACTACTAAAAAACCACATTTGCTGAATAAATGTTATATTCTTACTCTTATTAGTACTTGATTGTTTTGTTTTTTGTAATTGTCTGGAGAAATTTACTATTTTCTGCTCTTCTAAATGTTTTAAACCATCTAATAACCTAGAATTAAGCCCCAGATATTTTAAATTTAACTCAGAGCATCAAGGACTCTTTGTCAGTCTTCCTAACACAGAGATGTATTCAGTTCTGAATTTGTCACCATTAAAAATATCAGTGCTCTCCACTTACTTTGGGGGTTTACTAAGAAACGTATAGCTAGAAAACACTTTTCCTTACCTGAGGTCTACGACTGAGCAGCTGCTTTCGTATTCAAAGCCGTCACACTCCTCATAGATCTTAGCTGCAGTTTCTGGGGAGTCACATTCCACCACAGCGTAGAAGTACCTCATGCGCTTGAACTGGTATTCCCTCATTTTCTCACGATAAAGCCTGCATGAAGACATCACTGTCAAATCAAATCACACCTTCTTCCTCTGCCAGGTCTGCTCTGCCATTACTGCTGTCTACTGGTCTATGGACTTCACATTTATTGCAGAATTGGCCATGGCTCCTACCATACCGTGATCTATTATGGGAGGTGGTGGTCGGGGTGGGGATGTTGATGAAACAAAAACATAATTCAGCAAAAGCTCAGTTCTTATCACAGAAACAAAAACACTGATGAACTGAAAACAGCACTACTAGGTCAGAAAATGACATGTTCTACAAGGGCCACAGTTCTCTCAAAGCTATGAGGTATGAACAGTTATAAAACCTCGGTGCTTTTAAAACCCAGATTAAGGATCACAGACAGTATCATATCTACCTGGGTTTAATCAGCTGTTGCATAAAAAAATGTCGCTCTGAATTGTTAATTGCTGTACAGCAGTAGAGCACTGCCACCTTGTGGCTTCAGCAACACACGTGCTCTTGGGAAGCACAGGCCTAATCCTGGAGGCTGGCTTTTTAGCAGGTTTCATAACCATTTTTACATCATTACAACGAACGAGAAACAGCAACAGGAAAGCAAATAATTAGTTTAAATAGAGTTCAGATGGAAAAGAACCCCAAAAAGCATGCAGTGTTGTGCAGAACTCTGCAGCTCCTATGAAAATACAAGCAAAAAAACACCTTAAAGGCATCAAACATTTCAATTTGGACCTGCAGCAGAAACAGCAGTGTTTAAACATTTTGGAACAACACACCATCTCAGGTCAGAAACCAAATAAGTACAAAAGTCTGAAAGCCCCATCCCCAGCACCTCTCTTCCTCCGTGTCTTTATCAGGATTCTCGGGCAATATGACCAGCTCCAAAGGTCCCTGCAACTGCTCGGCTTTCATCCGCTCCTTCCCAAATTCTGAAGGGTAGATCTGGAAAATACAAGAAAGACACCAAGTTAAACACACTGAAATGCACCATGAATTCAAAATCAAAGCAACATCATCCTAAACTGAAAAACAGACAGGTTAAAAACAAATGTATACCTCCTAATAAACAAAACAAGATCGCCCAACATACAGCAACCCATGAATAACTAAGAATGAATAAAGGAAATGGAAAGTTAATTCTCTTGCACTTGATGACAAACCGTGCAATGGCCTGTCAGGCTCGCCCCAGCTGTGGCCCTGTGGGGTGGGCTAGTCCTGGCGTGGCAGCTGGCCTCTGCTTCACTCACCCGTCACTCGGTGCCGGTTGCCATGAAGCAAACCGACAGCAGACCCTGATCACCTGGAGGTGGTTACCTTCTCGCCGCTCCAGGTGATTCAGGGATATTTAAGGGATGTTTGGGCTCTGATATAGAGCAAGGACTCTTGAGTTCTCAAGCTTGTTCCCTAGCTTTTATTTTGTCTCCTGGCCCTTAAATCAGCTTCCTGACCACCCTATGCAGATCATTTCCCACCCTGTGTTATGATCTGCATTTCTCATGGCTTCGGTCCCTGTCTGCGTTTCTTGATCTTGGCCTCAGACTCTCTCCGTGCTTTGCTGCCATCCTACCCATGACCTGACCGAAGCTTTGTTCTGACCACGGCTCCTGGATTCCCCATTGTATTTTGAATTGTGCTTTGGTTTAGATTCACTGGTTTTATCCTAACCCCCCCCCACCCCACCCCAGCCTGTGCGACCACGATCTCTGAACGGCGTTCCCAGCTTACTACGGTTTTGAACCCCTGCATGAAAAGCACTCTCAGCCTGTCAGTCTGTCAGCGCGCTGCCTGCAGTTCCCCTGGATCCCATCGGCCTTCCGCCCAGCAAGTGGGTTTGACTATACAAATCCCGATGCGCTGCTAGTAGAATCATTGTACGGAGGCACTGTTTCTTACCTTTACAGAGAGCACAACTCCTCCTTTGGGTTTGAAAGAGTTGAATAAAGCCAGCAAATCTTTGGCCTTCAGTCTGTCCCAATCCATATTACACACCGCAAGCCTTCGAGTAACCTATTCAGAACATCACGGAACATCTCATACATCTCTTAAAACAGTACAGAATCCACATTTTCCCAACAACAGGGGACTAGTCCTAAGGCAGGTGTATACCTCAAAGATGCAGTTTGCATATTAAAAGCATCACTCATGTCTACACTGAAATTGAAACACATCATAGCCTATCCAGTTGTTCAGACAAAACAATGTTAAACAAATTACCAAAATGCTAACTAATAAAGGGCAGGCCGTGCCATCAGAATTATAGAGTTTTACCTGCATTCAAACAAGCACCTTTACTGGCTGAGCAACTGTGGAAACCATTATTCGTCTTTTCATATTAATATTTATAAAGGGTTTTCTCGCTTTGAAAACTGCAGTCTAGAGAAGTGAAAGGACAATGATGGTCTATATGTAACTGTATAAAGTAACTGGATAATGATCTGAACCCTATATGTAAAAGCTCCTTCAACTCACATTGTCACCTCGAGGAGCATCTTTCCAAAGCTCTCCCCAGTCATGTTCCAATTCTTCCTCAGGCTGGAACAGGTCTGTTAAATCGTCCTCCTCGTCTTCATCTGAGCTGGTCTCAATGTTACCTTTCCCTCGGGCCAGATCAGGACCGCTGTCACTCTCCTCCTCAGACTCATCTTCAGAATCCTCCGCGCTCTTCCCTTCATCAGAGTCATCTTCCTCCTCCTCCTCGCTGCTCCCCTCCTCCTCCTCTTGCTCGACTTCAGACATGTCAGCACCAGAGTCGTCATCTTCATCATCCGTGTCGAACTTGGTCTTTTCTTCATTCACTAAATAAGATTTTCATAAATTAAAAAATGAATATGCCGATAACATCAAATAATACAACAATAATTCCTTGTGCTTGTATAAAGCTTTTTACCACGAAGGACCTTAAAGTGTTTTGCACTTAGTAAAGGACCCACTTCACTTCATCCACTAATGAAGTGCAGCATTAACTTGGGTGATGTGGAGCAGCAGTTATATACAGTCCGAAAACCCCAATGCACAGCATACCAGGGAGAATAAGTGAGAAATTACTTCACTTTAAGAAGAGAAATTTAGGAAGGCCAGTTTGTTAAAATGTAATTTTGCAGAAAATACAAGTTTAAAAAAAAAATTCTGGTAGTACAGGCAGTAGTACAAAATCATAGTACTGATATACTTTTACAAACCTGATTTTTCAGGATCAGAAACAGTCACTCTTGCTTTCGATTTCTTTGTGGGCTGCTCTGGGACTGAGCTCTCCTCTCCTTTACCCTTCTGCAAGTGTTTCTCCCCTACTGAAACCCTTAATGCTTGGCATTTCTGTACTGTTCCCTCAGATCCATCACCACTGTCAGGGAGATCTCTCAAATGTGAAGTGTTTTTTTTGCCAGTTCCTTTCCTTGAAGCCTTTTCAGACACGTTCCCCACAAGTTGCGTGCTGTCTTTTTTCTTAGCCTCATTTTTGGGTTTTTCTTGCTCGGTTTCTTCCTCAAGATCACCTTCAACATCCACTTTGGCCCTTAACTTCTGTTTCTTCTTCTTCATCTTCTGAGCCGCCTTTTTTTCCTCATGGTCGGACTCTTCTGAGTCTGACACTTTGTAGAAGCGTTTCAGGTCCTCTGCGGAGGAGTGGTTAATGGGACGACCCCGTTTGTCCACTGTGTACTTGAGCTTGAACCTCTTGTCATGGAACATCGATTGAAACCTCTTGTCTATCTTAATCTTCTGCTCCGTCTCGGGCATCTCCCAGAAACGTGGGTCTTGCTTCATCCGGCTGAATCGCTCATCGGATCTCTCACTGTTTTTGGAGGCCATGTTGCACTTCAAATACAACAGGAAGACAATAAAAAGTGATCTGCAAACTGAAAAGAAAATGATTAAGTAAACACAGTCTACGCAGTGCTATATGAGGCAGTGTCCTTTAAATTAGAAATTTAACTGATGTCCTCACGACTTTCTTAGAGGTCAAAGGGAACAATTCACAACAGAAGAAGTGCTAACACCAGTGATCTGGCTAAATCTCAGTTTGGCCTTGCTTAATCTAGCCTAACTACAATTCCACCCTAAATCAACTTAGAAGCAAGTGGTCACTCGATCACACACTTGATCTGCTGTGCGTTACCCAGGTTGGTGGTGCACCTCACATGTGCACAAACTGGATCCTGTCCTATACATCATAATCAGTCACACGATGGAAATAAAATAAATAATGAGATCTAAGAAAATCATTTTCCTAAGGAAAAAAAAACTGGAATATTTCAGGAAGAATAATAGACAAAAGCGCCTGATAAAGTTTATTTGATCCTATATCGTTTGTTGTCTGAAAATTACTTCGCACCGGTACAAAATCGTGTTTTTATAAGTTATATATAAAATGTAACAGAAAACACAGAAATATCTATAGCACATTTGTAACTAATACAACGTTAATTTTATTTTTCGTTACTTCCTACTTTTAAACAAATACGATCGTCTTCAGACAGCATCTGATCAAACCAAACATATACAAACATTATATTGAAAGAACCATATCACGTATTACTTATCTTATGGCTGCCATGCAATTTTAATTCAACATACAACTGCTAAAACATATTTGCCCTGTGAGAATGTCAGTAATCAACGTTTTTGAAATAGAAAATATTTACCCGAATAGTAGGAAAACCACTCAGTCTCTACACAGTACTCTCAAATACTCATCCCATCCACATGGTTCTCCCACAATCCACTGCTTCCGTGAAAGTCCGTCTTTCTACGGCAAGTCAAATGGAACAATCTTAGTGTTTAGTATTCAAAACACACTGTTCTTAATGGACGAAATCATAGTAAAAAAAACATAGTAAAGTTTAGTACAAAATACGATAAAACTTAACTGAGCAGTTGTGAACTGATTGTATTCCACTGTAGAATATCTATTTTATTCCGTTGGATTGGATGGTAAAAAAAGAAAAATATATATAAATGTCAACAGATGCTGAAGGTCTGAAATTCTGAAGCTGCAAGATGCAAATTTTCTGTATATTATATTCGGTATTATGTATTATGTGCTTTTAAAAAGTGTTACGGTATTGTTAATCCTATCACACTGCACATCCACTAATCTGAATAGTGCATACAGTATTGATATGTATCAATCCATTCTTGAGCTCGATCCCAGTTCCATGTTTTTGTTCTATTCTCCTGTGCCTGTCAAAGGTCAGAGTGAAGGAATGGAGCAAACCTTGAAATCGTGGTAGTGCATAATGGCTTTAGTCTTTTGAGTTGTTACTGATAACTTGACAATATGAACAACGTTTTTATCGTTCGACGGGCTTTCTCTACCTCTTGTATGCTTTGTCCCTGGCGGAGGGCACGCAAAGTCGTCCTGTCCTCAGGACAGTTGGCACACCAAAGCCAGGGTCTGGTCTTCAAGGGATGCACTAACTTTAAAAGATGGTTTTCCAGCAGGACTGCGAATTCCATGAATATATTTGATAGGAACATGAAAAGAAGGCAGAAAAACTGGGCTGCGGCGTTGCAGGACGGTGACAAATACCATTATCTGAGAGACGAGGTATGTTTGGAGTGTTTTTTTAAATTTGTTTGGGTTTACTGATTCTGTTTGACACGATCAGTTAATTAAATAGAAAATGATATTAGAATGCTGTTTTAAATACAGAATGTTTTCGGTAAAATTTGAGTAAAACGTTAGAAACGTAAGAAGTACTGTTTTTTGAGGACCATACATTTGATCATTTTTATTTTCTGATATGTATGCAACAACTGTATAAAAAGCATTTAAAGTGTTATGTGTCCAAGACAATGTATATGTTTTGTATATTCTGTAGGCACAGATATATGTTTTGTATATGCTGTAGGCACAGATATACAATGTAACATCGTAATCAAAATAAACAGTATGAACAGAGTTATAGCGGTCAGTTTGTTTCATAGTGTTTTCTTATTTTCATCTGCATTTAGAAGATGAGTAATTAAAGACGATTTACTGATGTACTTTTTCTTTTGGCATATTTATAGGTTGGCAGTAGGGTTGCAGATAGGGTTTTTGATATCGCAAGGTAAGATCAGCAACTGAGGCATCAGTTAAATTGTGTCTAATGATAATCAAAATGTATTTACATTTTATCATTTGAAAATTTTGGAGATAATTTAACATAACCAATAATGAGTAAATTAGACTCAATTTCTTGTTCTGCTTTAGAAGCAATGTCTGTAACAGTGTCGTTTAAACAGCGCTTACTCTGTGACAGTTCTGCATTATATATCTGATGCCCTCCTTGCACAGTTCCTTCCTACCAATTTCCAGCAGAAGCCAGCTTTTGAAAAGGCTTCTCAAAGAACAAAAAGACACAAAGCACAAAACAATTAAGAAACAAAATGTATTAAAACAAGATTCAGTTTGATGGTATATTTTAAAACTTATTTTTATTAATAATAATTCCTTACACTTACTTTATTTAGCGCTTTTCTGGACACTCCACTCAAAGCACTTTACAGGTAATTTGGACTCCCCTCCACCACCACCACCAGTGTGCAGCCACACCTGGATGATGTGACGGCAGCCCTAGTGCACCAGTACAATCCCCACACATCAGCTATCAGTGGGGAGGAGAACAGAGTGATGAAGCCAGTTCATAGAAGGGGATTATTAGAAGGCCATGATTGATAAAGGCAAATGATGCTGGACTAACACCCCTACTGTTTTTGAGAAATGCCCTGGGATTTTTTAATAACCACAGGGACTCGGGACCTTGGTTTTACGTCTCATCTGAAGGATGGCACCTTTTACAGTATAGTGTCCCCGGCACTGTACTAGGGCATTAGGACCCACACAGACTGCAGGGTGAGTGCCCCCTGCTGGCCCCAGTAACACCTCTTCCAGCCAAAACCTTAGCTTCCCCAGGAGGTCTCCCATCCAGGTATTGGCCAGGCTCACACCTGCTGAGCTTCAGTGGGTTGTTAGTTTTTAGTTGCAGGGTGATATGGCTGCTGGTCAATTGTTTACTTGTTTATTGTTTAAGTGCAATTTGTGTGATACAAGGCTACAAAAGTTTTTGTGTATCCATTACCCATTGTATTTGTATATTGAAAAATTGTAATATATTGAAGAATATGTAAAGGAATGTCCTGTTTTTGGCTTCCATTCATCTCCCTTGACAGGATAATTCAACAGTATTGGGTGTCTTACAGGGTTATATAACTGTAATTGGCTCACCAAATGAGACATATATGTGATATGTACATATATGACAGTATCAGTAATATTGCATGTCCATCATTTTTTTTGTAGAACATTTCCTCTTGCTCTGGACATTGGCTGTGGAGCAAGTCATATTGCCCTGCACTTGAACAAGGTACTTGTAAAAATGTTGCGGGGGTTCAAGTGTGAAAGACAATGACTTCATCCCTTATTGATCAAACTGAATTTCTTTCCTGGTGTTTCAAATAAATAAACTTGTTAATACAGATATGATCTTTTTTTTTTTTTGTATATCTGTCCTAATATTCTAGGAAACAATTGAAAAGCTCTTCCTAATGGATGTCACAGTAAATGCTCTGGTGAGTTGCTAATTTATCTGACGAATCTATTTGCCTCTTAATCAAGTAATAGGTTTCTATTGTCTCTGAGATTGTTTGTACACGAGTACCATTCTGCCATTCACTCACTGACAGTGTGGCCCAGAGCAGAGCTTCTCAACAGTGTATGATTAGGCACTTGCATTTAAATATTCATAACGCCTTTCATACTGCCACCAAGACAACAGTATTCTGTGAAAGTGATGCATCATATTAAACGCACTTAAAAATGACATGAAAGTATTAAAGTTTAAACTTTTTAAATTGGATAGCACTTAATGAAACGGGCTTGTATATCCTTTTACTTTTTTGTGCCAGAAGGTGGCATCATAATGTCCACTACTAAACATTGTGCTGGGCTTAAAAGGGATTTTACATCTGTCTGTTAGTAGAAAGCTACTTACTCCTGTAAGGGTCATTGCTAGGTCGTATGCATGTGTAGTATAATTCATTTAAGAATCAAACCTGAAGAATCACTTTGCAATAGATCAGAACCTGCACATTTTGCAAACTGATTTGATAAATGCTTTTTTAAAATTCCAAAGACCAGTAAAAAGAGAGGTGTTTCAAATGTTGAAATAAAGACAGTTATTTAAAAACTGATTTGGAATTCAACGCACACGAAGCTACAGGTACAAGGCTTCATTTGAAAGGACCTGAAGGGAGTGGGATAGGGACCTCAAAACTACTGGAATCCTCTGCACTAAGTGTCAGCTACAGTAGTTCACCAGGAGTGATTGTGGTGGTTATTTTGTAACATAGCTAAGAAAAAAAATATAGCAGATGCCTCTTTTTAAGAGTTACGCAGTGTTGTATTTGTAGTTCAAGGCCATTCTTGAGTGAAGGGCAAACATATTTGCAACTGAAAGGCAAAAGTAGAATGTCTATGTAAACCCCAGTGTACAAGATAACATAAATCTGTGATTAACTCTTACAGAAACTGAAAGAGACTGAAATCCCTACCTACAGAGTACTGGCAGATGAAGAGTTTCTTCCTTTCAAGGAGAACACATTTGATCTTGTTGTCAGCAGCTTAAGGTTATTGGTTTTATTCATGTGTGATTTCTCAAATGTAGCTAAGACAGTGACATATCAGTATTGCCCATTGATATTCTAAAATTTGATTTATCTGTTGTGTTCAGGTATTATTCAATATCAATGCCATTTTTGAATCAGCAGAAGCTGAAGCTGCCACATGGACATTAAGTTCTGGTGCTATTGCTGTAACATCTTTGTAAATTATCTGCAGCAGTTTTATGTTTTCACAAGTACAAGGTCATTTCTGTGAAGCTGATTCCTGAAGTTGTCAAAGTCAGAAGCTGTATTTGCAATTAGGAATGAAATATGTAGTGTCAAGAAAATGTAAAGTATTAAATCATTCTTTTTGATGTTTTAATTTATATACCTCATTGCATCCAGTTCCACTCATAGGAGATGATTTCTAAGGAGGAAGTGCAGCATGCATTTAGTCCAGATTGATTGACAATCGTTACATTAAGATTATACAGGTATGAAATAATGTAGCACTTCTCTGTCATTTCTTCAGAGCCTTCTAGTACACAATACTGTGTATTTTTTTGTTGTTGTTCTGTAAAGCACTTTGAAAAGCCACATTTAAAGTATAAAATAATGTATATAATGCTATATACATTATTGTTATTATAACACTTTTTTAAATGTGTTTCTTCTATACAGTTTGCACTGGATAAATGATCTCCCAGGGGCTTTCCGGCAGGTAAAATCCCTTTAGCACACATTCTTTGCAATAAACATTTTGCTTTCTTTGAATTATTTAGGTCTTGTGTCAAAATGTTTAATAGAGTTGAGCTGAAAGTTTTTTATCAACAGTCATCCATTTATCATCTTGTTCAAGTATTTAGCAAGAACAGAGATTTTGACAGGGGTGTACTAAATAAGGAAAGAAGAAATATTGGGGGAGCAAACAGGATTATACATACTGTACAATCATGATCTTGCTGTAAAATTTGAGGAATTTGCATTACTCAAATTGTTTATCATCAGAGTTTTTTCTTTGGAGAATCAGAAAGGCCTCAAACAAGAGGAGGCTGTGAAGGTGTTTCTCTGTAGTCCTGGAGCGGTTTTCAAGAAATCCCCTTGAAACCCACTCTAGAAAAAGATAATTGTAAATAGCAATCTGCCCCAACCTGGGTGGCTTTGGGAGGTTGGAGGAAAGAGGAGTATCCGGCGAAAAGCCACCTGAACATGAGGAGAACGCACAGCACCACAAACACGGCTACTTCAATCTGGACTGCACCCAGGACCTGTGAGGCAGTGGTGCTATAACATCCATGGCACCACACTTCTTAAATGCAAGTAAAATGGTGCATCAGGATGAGGTCCTGTACTGTGCCCTTGCAGATCCATCACGTCCTGAAGCCTGACGGAGTGTTCATTGGAGCCATGGTTGGGGGGGAGACTCTCTATGAGCTGCGCTGCTCACTACAGCTTGCTGAACTGGAGCGGGAAGGGGGCTTTGCACCTCACGTGTCTCCCTACACTGCGGTCACAGACCTGGGAAACCTGCTGGGCCAGGCTGGCTTTAACATGTTGACTGTTGTAAGTTTATAAATCATACCGTGTCACCCAACGTGGTCTTGTAGGACAAATTATAAATTGAATGAGGCTTTGCATTATACTCGAAGCCATGTCATTTAACACAAGAATTGCACCTTTTACTGTCATTTTAAAGAAAATACCATCAAGTGAAGCACTTTTTACTTGTTTGTAATACTTTTTTGTGCCAATCTAAAAAAAAAAAATCTGTGAAATGTCATGTGCAGTACGAATTGTACAGACCAATTTCACATCCAGGCTTCGGTGACTTTTAGATATCATGTCTTCCTTCCAGTTCATTTTGTATTCCATATCATCCTCTTGATGTTCTGAAAAAAACTATTCTCTGTAGGTTACGATACAAGGCAGCCAAGGAATGTTTAGTACATCTTGAAATTTCCGTAATGGTGCTATGCAGAATATTGAAGGAGACTTTTTTAGTTCACAGCTTGGCGGTCTGCCTTTACAGCTTTTGATCGTCTTTGAAAACACATTTACTTTGCATGAACTATTTTATCACAGAGTATGCTGAAAAAAATGAATAAACTTTTGTAATATTTATTTATGCAAAAGATTGAGCTGTAACAATTTTAACAAGGAAAGCAGCTTAAAAATGTGCCTTTTAACCACTTATACCATGTACCTGTTTCATAAGACAAAGTACAGAATTAGAATTTTAAAATTATCATACTTATTTGTATTATTTTAAGAAATACAATTTATTTTGTCTTAATGTTCTTTTACTTCAGGACATTGATGACATCCAAGTGTATTATCCAGGGATGTTTGAAGTGCTGAATGATTTGCAAGGTAAGTATTTGTGCTGTTAAAAATTGAGCCCAGTTGTTCCTTGGATGGGGTTTTAATAACCTTGTATTTTATGTGGGTTAATAGTCTTAGAAAACAGATGAATTCCTTCTAAATAAAAATGTAGTTTAAAAATGTGGTTTTTAAATTTTTCAGGGATGGGTGAAAGCAATTGTGCTTGGAATAGAAAACCCATGCTGCATAGGGACACAATGTTAGCTGCTGCAGCAATATACAAAGGTAAGCAGTGTCTTTATGACAGACTCAAATATGAATCCGAATGATCTTTGGCATGAATAAAAGCACCTGCTTTTGCAGTATTTTGACTGAATGGTTTTGTAAGTCTCCTTGCATATATAATTCTGTCTTATTCAAATATGAATACCACATTTGAAATAGTAATTTTTATTTTCATGGTATATATTTTGTCTTCCAGGATAGGTTAAAAAAATCCCAGTTATTGATATTATAGCAAATACTGAAACTGACAGCATTTATATCTTTTTCCAGATAATTCTAAATTATTATCTTTATTTTCTCAGAAATGTATGGTAGTGAAGATGGGTCTGTACCTGCAACATTTGAGATTCTGTATATGATTGGATGGAAGCCTCATGAATCACAGGTATTACGAAATTAAAATGCAAATATTATTTATGCTCAGATCTGAAATATAAACCTCTGCCAAGGGTGGTGAATAAGGTATTTGCCTGTGTGGGAGCTATGAGACTGGGTGTTATTGGAGAAAGTCTTGCACGTCCTCCATTGTTTTCAGTTTTTGCAGCTTTTAAAACTCAGTAGTTTCACATTCTGCAGAACATTAAGAACAAAAGAGTCACCATGTCAATTACTCTATTCAGGTTTAGTTATATAAACTAAACCACTCTTTTGAAATAAATCTGTATTAAATTCTAAATTAAAATGAATACATTTTATAATTAGCCCTTGGAAAATTGTTTTTTTCATAGAAGTGTTTGGTGAGTTGTGTGTCTCTTTGTTCATCATGTTCATGCTTTCAGAACTTTCAATAAAATATACAAGGATAAAATTAATACTCGATTTTCTTCACAGGCAAAACCTGCAAAAAGAGGCTCAGCTAATATGTCTTTTGGTGACCTTGGGAAAATTATTCAGCCACCGTCAAAGAAGCAATAAATTGTTATATTCTTATGAAGAACTACCTGTGTGCTTTATATCATCAGTTACATCAAAATGAAAACCAATTACTTTTCATTGGTGATTTTAAGCTTATGTGAGCTTGCATCAATTAATTTTTTGAAAGAACTCCACAAATAGGATGAATGTTAACAGTACGGCTCTGAGATTCCATTACAGTGTGCTTCAGATGTTTTAAATTATTTTGAAAAAGAAATACAGAATTGAAGATTAAGATCCACATGAAATAGTGCACATTTATGAGGTTGCATTTGTTATAGGGATAGCATTATCTCAGAGTTGCAAAACATTGAACAAATTGAATGTAGAAATAATTCAGCATCTTATTAACGAATCCTGTTGGCTATCAGCTGTACCAGTAGAACAGTAAGCATTACAATCAAGTACAAATCCCACTGTGGTTCCACTACTTCCAATACCTCGGAAATCTACAGAGAAAAATAAGCGTTAAAGTTATGTGCTTGGCATTTTCTTAGCATTCAAGATGTTTTTTTAGCATTCAAAAACAGCATAAATGGAGAATCCAAAATTAGTCAAAGTTGCTTATTTGTGCTATAAAAATGGTTGAACTTACCATAGAAGTATAATAATCAAGGAAAAGCTGTGTAATGGATAATTTGCAGATTGCCAGAAAAACTGGTAAGTAGGCATCGGGGCTTGCAATAATAGCCATATTATACATCTTTAAAGCCATGTATATGTCCTAATTAGGAAAAAAATAGACAATGAAGGATCAATGTCAACTTTACTGTTATCCATACAGTATGTAAAGTACTATATATATACAAGATCAATTTTATTTACCCGAGTCCAAACTTAGTAAACCATTTTTTGGTTGTGGACAGTGACCATGTTATTGAATTAAGTCTACATCAGAGTATTAAAATGAAATGTACACTTTGAATTGGCTTCATTACACTGCTCTCCTCCACTCTGATAGCTGATTTGTGGTGAGCGTTCTGGTGCACTACGGCTGCCATCACATCATCCAGGTGGTGGTGGAGGGGAGTCCCCATTACCTGTAAAGCGCTTTGAGTGGAGTGTCCAGAAAAGTGTATATAAATGTAAGCAATAATAATAATAATAATAATAATTATTATTATTACTTTACAAGCCCAACTACTTAAATTGGATAAGCCATTGTAGTATTAACTGAAACATACAGCCGGTCATTAAATTTAGACTTTTATTTAACTGCCGAATGACAATTAGGTAATATGGCATTGCTAAATTTGTAGCTGTCAAAATGACATTGCATTACTCTGTTAAACATTCATTGTATTCCTTAACAGTTCCAACATGGTAAAACATGTATTTTATAGTTACATGTTTTATAGTTCCACAATGGCAGCAGTTCAGCAAAACATAATAAGCCTGATCATTACTACTGAGATAAATGTAGCAGCAGTAAATCACCTTCATTATTAAGTCTAACGATGATCTTACAGAATATTTCAGCATATCACAGAAGGAACTGGTGAATCTACAAAAAGGTTATGGGATGAGAAATTTGAAAGGGGTGTGAAAATACCATGGTTCTCTAACTCTAAACTTGTAAGATTTTATAACAGATCTAACAAGTAAATATGAGGGATGATTAAAAACATTTGGTGTTCCCTTATCAAATTTCATGTTGTTGTGTACCTTTTTGTGTCCTATCCCTTGCTCATACATGTATCCAAGATTAAATAAGGCCTGGGCACTGCCTTCTACAGCTGCGAGATGATAGTGAACTGCAGCTGCTTCATGATCCACATCCATGCCATAACCATAGTAATGATAGTCTCCAATTTTAACTCTGGCAGGTGCATAACCTAGTGGAAAACATTTCACACCAAACAAATTGTATTCCATACAAATTGCTTATCTAACGTACATTGTTAGCACATATGCAGCTGATTTTTAAATTACATTCAGCACCCATCTATATGAGCATCAAATGAAACTCCACTGTATGAATGTATATTAGAAAAATAAAGTAGATTTTGGATACTGATAAAATGTTAAAAGAGAGGAATGTGCAATATTTTATTAGTTTCAACAGTACATACTGTACATTACTAGCATTTCACAGTAGATCCCCTGTTGATCACCCTGGTTGAAGTGTTGATCAGCATAATGAATTTCCTCTGTCTATTCAATAAAATGTCAGTGCATCTGCTGCAGAAAAAAAGATTTTGTGATTTTCTTGATAATAGCTTTGTGAATCTGGTTTAGTTAATAGTGATAAGTTCCTTTTGATGCTCAGTATAATTGGATACAAATGTCATACAATCTTGAGGGGCTTAAACAATTCAATCACAATTGAAGTGGAGGCTGGCAGAAAACTGCCAAACAATTTTTTTAAGTAAAAAAAAAAAGCCCTGTGCTCTGTAAAAATAAATATAAAAAGCAGTACAATGCCAGGAACAAAAGTAACTTGTAATGATGTAAAGGTTTGCATTAAAAATATGACATTCAAAAACTAAATAAAAGTCATGTTTTAAAATGGCAGACACATTCTCATTATTGAAATGGTTGACTTTGTAAATGTAATAAATGTTGCTTATGTACGAAGACGCATTAAGTGATCTCATGTTTTTTAATTATAATTAAATGTTTAACAGACAAGTATATTTCCCTATTTAATATGGAATGTTTAGAATCTATGAACTATAAACATGTTTACTATTCCTGTAAACTCCATATCAAAATCAATTAAAAAATACTGTATTTTTTTCAGGGTGCTCTGGTTTCCTCTCACTTCCCAAAGACCTGCTGTCTGGGTTCATTGTGCATTTGTCTGCCCTGCAATAGACCTGCATCCTGTCCAAGGTGCAGGCCGTCTCACCTCATACCCTGTGCTTTTGCAATAGACTCTGGGTTGCTGCAGCTCTTGCAAGATATGAATAAAGTTCTGATGATGGATAGATAATGATATTTTTTTATACTGAAATTAGATAATATATAGCCACGTACTTGCTAAATATCCTAACTCTTACATTTCCCCAGGTTATAGAGTTATGCAATATTTATGTCTAAAAGGAGCTTGATTTTAACTTCAATGTGAAATCAGAGGAAATGAGTTTGAGTGGGTATTTTGCGAGATCTTGGTGTAAACCCTTGGGTTCTGCTGGAGGTGTTCTTAATACCAGACAAGAGATCCCAAATAAATGCATGCTCTTGGGAATGGTTTAATCGCTGTGGGTGATTAATAGACGAAAATAAAGACATGTAATATTTATGCTTTTTCCAACATGGAAATCTACAGAAGAAGACGAACTATAGTCTTATTAAGTTGTAGCATGATACCTTACCATGAGATGCAGCCCTTTGCCACTGCACAAAAGCCAGCTGGTACACCTCTGCATCCTTGAAAATTCTTGACACATCTAAAGAAAGTAAATGGACCTATTACACGGGTAAATACAGCACTCAAAACCTTTTTTTCCTGGTACAGCAAATTGTACCTTAAAGTATATGTTGCAGCCATGTAAGACTTTAACTTACTTAATTCTAAGAGGTATGCAGCATTGCTCTGTGCAACTTCATAGCCCATCTCTGCAAGAAACAGGTACTGAGCAAGGGCAGAGTCGATATCACCATTTCTGAAAGCAGCATATGCTTGGAGAAACATTTCCGACCAGCTGCCTTGAAGACAGACATCCATGAAAAGCTGGAGGAGGACAGAAGACAAAAATAATCAGTGGCATAGTCCCATAGCAACTGTACAAGTGATGTAGGTTTGTGGCTGGTCTCTTTGCCCGTCTTATTCATGCAATTCAAATTTGATTAGGATATTGTATCATTAAATAGAAATGTTGGGGTAGTTTTTTCATACTGAATTAGGTTTCACCACGTGACCCTACCTGAACTGCAGTGCTACAAGACCTGTGCACTCCAATTCCTTTGGCATACATCTGAGCCAAGTAATTGCGTGCTAGGTGATGCCCCTTCTTAGATGCAAACGTGAAATACTGGAAAGCAGCCTTCAGGTCTATCTGTACTCCATAACCATCTGCAAAATCATAATACTTCTTCTGTCTTCAAAACACAAAATAATATGATATGATCAAATATTTTTTTTAATCTGATGCATGGCCTTACAAAGGTACATGAGTCCTAGGTGAAAAACACCGTCTGTCCATTTCTGTTCTGCTGCTTTCTTAATTAATTCAAAAGCTTTTGTGTGATTCTGAAATGAAAAAAAATCACATCCTATTAAATGACCACTTAGCGTGTACAGTTTGTGACCATTCTCGCTACTTAAAAAGATAATGTAAACATTCAAGTGCCAACATTACCCACATTCAAAATGGCTACATAGCATGGCCATGAACTGGTAATATTTTATCAGTGCTGCAGGGAATTCTAACCTTAATTTACTGCATATAGGTCTTACAATCTGCTTCCCTTATACAATGTTATCAGACACCGAGCAGTGCTAAGAGGTTCCTATGCGTACGCATAATTCCAGGTGTTTCTTTGCCCAGACATTATATTAAATATAATAAAAATTATAAAGACATTATAAAGTACAGTATAGCTGATCGTACAATAGATTTTCTCCCTTTAAAAAGTTACTGCCCTCAATTTAAAAAAGTTTATTAACTTTTATTAATAATAGATTTCATCAAATATGATTGATATTTTATTGATAATAGCAATAATAACAAGGCGTTACACTGAAAAAAAAATACTTACAACTGGTACCCCTTTTCCAAAGAGATACATAACACCCAGGCCGGTCAACCCAACTGGATTGCCCTTAGTATAAAACGTAAAAACAGTAGTTTAATAATAGCAAACAACAGCTAAATATCCTTTTGCATTACATATATTAGTTTCTTTTCTGTAAGTTGATACAACATAAATTCCTATTCTCAGTTTCTTGATATTATATGAACAATGCCTACTCTGTCTGCAGCCCACTTGAAGCAACGGAAAGCAGAGTCATTGTCTTGAGGTGTAGGTTCAGTCCCTTCAAGATACATCTAAAAATATATAATATGAGTGGGTTATTGTACCAAGAAAATCAAATAAAAATCAATATTACTGCCAAAAACATACATCTGTTTCTCAGTTTGGAACATTATTATTTCTATCACCGACATTTGTTTCACTGTACTACAAAACATTTACCGGTGCAGTTTATTCCTGTTTTATGATCTCTAGCACTAATGGGAAAGTTGTTTTCTGCCTTGTCCTTTGCTCATTGAATCGTTCCCATACAAAAAAATCATCTTGATCCTAATCTGGTCCCACATTTCTGAAGGCATCAGTGTATGAGGTCATCAACATCTAGTCATCTGTGCATATATAGGAGCCATAATGTACATTCTCATATGCACTGCTGTCAAAGTCATGACAACACAGATGACAGCTCATCATAACAAAATGCCACTTACCGAAACATTTTTAACTTTCTCTTCTAGACTGTACAATCTGTTCTTGGTACCCCTGGCATCTGATTGTTTCTGTTTTTCTCCTTAGTACAAGGAGCCAGTTTCAATCAGGCTTTTCAAAGTGATGCCCATAGACAATAACGTCAAAAAGTTCGGCAGCAATTGGATACAGAGTTGTTTTGTCAGGTCCTCCATGCAGACAAAACAGCACCACAGAAGGAGGTTTATATTGTAAAATATAAGGTATTTAATGAACAACATGAAAATAATTAAGCTTTTTGGAATAAAATAATTTAAAAGCAGGTCAAATTTTAAAATAATCTGCATGCATTATAATTTTAAATGATTTATTCATCTCTATGTTTCTGCATGTTAAAAAAATCTTTGGCTTCCTTATTTTGTATTTGCCCACGGGCCTCCAAGTATATGCTCAGAATACTGTATCCATGGCTTGTGATGTTTGGTTAGGCATGCTGGGTCAAGCCTCCTATAGCATTTTAGAAAATAAAACTGTCAGGAAATCTAAGATGAAATAAAATATCATATCCACGGAAGCTGTTGGCAACAGTTGATGTCAGCAGGTCTAAGAACAGATGGGACAATATCAGAAAGAACACATCAGATATGATTTGAGGGCTGAAAGCAAACAAATGTTATCTACATATAAAGCAGTTAGGAAGCCTGTTACACATGGTGATTAAATTAAACCTGAAAAGCGAAGGCCTAAGATATTCATCAGATTCAACAGAAGCCTGAGCACATGCATGAACATAAGTCTTTGATAAAACTTTAAAATTATAGACCATTATTTCAATATTCATTATGTGGTTTAAAGTAACATTCATCTGATTAATATTATTTGCTGGCATAACAGGTGGAATTGATCAAGATATTCATATACATGTACTATGATATTCTGTCAGAATGTATTGAGAATTAGCAATGTAAGTGTTACCAATATTTATTAAATTTTATTATCCAGGATCCAAGAGTTGAAAGGAGCAGCACTAAATATCTCACCAGAAACAATTTCAGACAATCTAATAATCACACACTGCAAAACAAGCCATCTTTTTACCTTTCCCAAAAGAGCTGCAGCTTCAGAACTTCCAGCTTTCAGGGCCTTGTGTAAGTAGTAAAAAGCTTTCTGAAAGAAATGAGAAAGGTGAACAATTAAATTAATCAATGATTACGCTTTCTCTGAATATACAGTAGAATGTCTTGCAAATATATTCGGGCTCTTGCAATTTTCTTATTTTGTTGCTTTAAAATATGCACAACCTACTCCACACATTCAAATAAATAAAAATAAATAAATGCATAATTAATTAAATTAAAATGATAAAGTCATGACTGTAAAAGTTTCAAACCCTTTATTTTGACAAACCTAAATTAATTTAGGAGAGCATAATTATCTTATTAAGATGCGTAATTAGTTGAGTGGACTGGGTCTGTGTTCATTAATAGTGGTTCACATAGTTTCTTCATAAATTCAGCTGTCTATGTGAGATTCCTTCGTCCTATAGTGAAGTTCAAGCAGAGACTCAACTATGAAGCACTCATGGATAAAGTCATTGACATAGACAGATCAGGGGAAGAGTACAAAATAATATCAAGTCAAGGAATATTTCTGTGAGCACAGTCTACTCAGTCATCAATAAATGGAAGATGCATCATACCACCCAAACCCAGATCAGTCTCACCAAACTGAGCGACCGGGCCACTAGAAATCTGGTGAGAAAAGTCACTGTGAGACGATATGAAAGAGCTATAGAATGCAGTGGCTTGAGTCACCTGAGTCCACAATATCCCTGCCACTCCATAATATGGAAGAGAGAAAAACCAAGTTCTCGAATTCTACATGTAGATTACAACAAAGCACCTCAGTGATTCTGCAAAAATGTGATTAAAGATGTTGTGGTCAGTTGAGACCAAATTTGAACTTTTTAGTTGAAATTCCAGGGGTTACATTTGGCACAGTCCCACCATTCACAGCACCCATACAGTCCAGTATGGTCGTGGCAAAACCATACTGTGTGGATGCTTATCCTCAGCAAGAACTAGAAAGCTTGTTAGGACTGAAAGAAAAATGGTTGGAAAAAAGTATAGGCAAAGTACACTGAAAATGATCAAAACAAATATTCACTTTTCAAATACATAATTACTTTTGTTTCACAAAACAACTAAACACTCCAGCATACTAGAGATATTCCTCAATTGTATTTTATGACTTAATCACTGAGGAGAGACCACTGAAAAGTGTAAACTCCAACAGTTCTAAGCATTGTGTAAGTAATTTAAATTTGATCCCAAAAGCCTACTTTTTTATAAAAAGATTTAAATGAGGCACATCTATAAAACAAAAATCAGAAATCATAATTACAGCTTGGAAAATACATGGTGTAATTAAATGTACATACAATAGACTTGGTAATTTTATTCTTAAATGACTTTTTAAAGACATGTTTTAAATGAAAGGTTTTTTCTTGCTTTTATAATTTAGAAATTCCTTAAAGCTATCGACCCTTTTGTACAATGCATCAGTGCACATAAAGAATTATAACTAAATAAAGAATTAGGCCAAAGGTTAAGATTCAGTCCCACCGAATAAACCATGTCATCATGAATGTTGAGATATAGATTAGACAGTTCCACTGCACACTATGTCCTTTGTACAGGAAATCAATGTAAACAGGCTACCATTTAATCTTGTACATTTTACTGTCTGGTTGCATTAATCAAAAAGTTTGCCATCAGTTACTAATTATATACAAAAAAGTAACTGATAGGATGAAGTGACCACAACAGTATTCCAGTTTAAACAAGTTGAAAAAGATGTTGATGTGCTAGATGAAACAATAGTGAAATCTTCTGGTTTTCCTTTCCTGTACTGTCTTGATAAACTGCATTTACCAATGCATCCCACTATAACTGGTACTTTTGCTTAACCTTGGAGGGACAAGATGCTTTAAGATTTTTAACTTTTCATCACTATCATGATGAAGGGTAAAAGGTTTGTTCTTTGAAGTATGTATCAAACAACTAGGAATTGACTGAGTTCATATCTCAGTTCTTCATAAAAAAAGTTTTGCTGTTGTGTTAAACCAGTTTAACAAAAAATAATAAGGTTAAATACTGTTTTATATTTTATTTAGCCCACTAAACTGGTGAAACAGTGAAAAAAAACAACTAACCTTATTTGCACACTAAATTCTTATGTTTAATAATCACCACAGGTCAAGTGTTTATTTTAAGCATTCTGAAAAAGTGTGAAAAACACAATATTTTAACTTTTAAAATAGTCTAGTTTGCCATTCCATCAATTGCTCTATGCACACAAACTATTGTAAAAGTACATTTAAAATCACTTCTATTATAATTACCTGGACAACATAATTGGACCTGAGTCATTGACACTGCTCCTTCTATATGCATTACCTTCTTGACTCGTGCATTATAACAATTATGGAAAACCATCCTAGAATACCATGAACTTATAACACCACTCAGAAGACAAATCGGCAGAGAAACCTGTCCTCTTGCTCATACTCACATGAGAATCACGCTCAAAACCTCTGTCTCCACTCAGATGTAGAGTGCCAAGACTAACCTAAAACAAAAATGTGGGAGTACAGTATGCTTTCCTGTTCCACCTTTTAGACAAACAAAAACTTTGACTGGTCACAAACTAAACAAAATATTTATAAAAACTGTGAAAAGAACAATTGAATTAACTTATACTGTGGTTTAGGGGCTGCAAATGAAACATTCTAAATTTATAACAAACAAGCAATCATAACAAAAAGTATCTGTTAATAAAACATTCTTACATGAAACCAATCTGACATTTGTCAATAAACATGCAAAAAAGTGTTAGTAGTTTATTTTCTATAAAGTTATTTACACTGTGTTCTTGATATATTACAGGCTGCAAAGAAGTTGTAAATTAATTCTCTAGTCCATGACCTAAAGGGTTACCAAATGAACTGTATGTGTAAGATTCATATGTGATGTTGACCTAAATGGGTGTAAGTTTCTAAAATTATTTTCTTTTTCACTTACTTGTGTTTGTACATCCCCTCTCTCTGCAATGAATGCGTAGTAGTGATACACATCCAAGTCTATAATTCTATCTTTCAGGCTTTGGTTCTCAGGCATATCCATTATTCTGATTAATTCAACACTGCAGTGATGAATACTTGACAAATGTTTAGAGACTGCAAAATAAAGCTTTTGTTTCAATACTCTTAATGCCATCTGGACTGCTTCTTCATTTTTCATGTATCCATGTGACTAATCTAAAGATTTAGCGTTTACAAATGAAAGGTGTGAGACATAAAAGATTTTGGCATTTGTTGAGTCTCTTTTCTAGTATAAGAATCTTTATTTTCTGGTACGTGAATTAGATAACGAGATGTTAAAGAGTCACGGTGAAGTATTTTATAGGACAACGGTGACAAGTCTTGAACAGTTTTTTCAATTATTTGCATAGGTGAGTCTCTAAAGCCACTGATGATCATAGGATTAAAGTTGGACACAAAATTCATAATTATTACGTTCTGAATGCACATTTAATTTTATTTGCTTGTGTAATTTCTACAAGTTTAAACCTGGGACTTGATGTCAACTTAATCTAAGTTGTTATTAGAATTCCAATTTTCTGGTTCAAAATAAAAAAAACCTTTGCCAAAGCCACCTGAACCTAAATTATTAATGTAATACATATTGAAATTATGGAATACAGAGTACCTTCTTTTGCTATACTTCTGTACTGAGAAAGAGCAGCCTCACAATTCTGTGGCATGAGGATTCCTTTCCAATATCTGTAACCCTGGAACATTTACAAAACATTAAATGCTGACATGACATCTTAAAACTGAGAAGGTAACAATAATTATATTCATATAGTCAAATATACCACATATAAAACATAAAAAAAAAAAATAATCACATGAATATAGTCAAATACTTAAGCATATAAACAAACCAGTATCATTTTAGCCACAAGATCTCCACCAAGGCCAGCAGAAGTATAGTACAAAATTGCCTGGAAATAATGAAAAAAAGTTTTCACTTTACGAAATGTGATGCACGGTATATTATTTGTAATTAGCATTAATTGTTGTCATATCAATTTTATACAGTATGGTATATAATTTTAGTGTTTGTTTGGGTTCCCCAAATGGTTTGGAGCATTAAATAATTAAAACATGTTGCCACAATATCTAGGAATAGAGGTCATCGATATACACAATATATAAACATTACATGTAGACAGCTGTTTGATACTAATCTATTCCATCTGTTGATAACAAAAAAAAAAAGATTTCTGTGTGAGGAAAAAGAAAAAGAATACACACCCTGGCTTGACTCTGATTGAAGCCTATGCCTGCACCATACATGAATCCGAAGCCCTGAAGATACAAAAGCACGTTCATGTATTTAGTGCATCTTCCATAATAACCTCTTCCTCTTCCTCTTCCCTGTTCCTTGTAGTACCTTGTGTGTCACTTGTTCACAAAAGCTCTGCATTTCTATTTTGAGTAATTCCTAAATAAGCAAATTGCCCTTCTTGAGCACGAGTACATTTCTCATGCTGTGCTACTGATAGAAAATACGACATCTGTGAAGTGTTGCTTCCACTCCGAGACATACAGTGGACAATGCAAGCTAGAGTGGAAAACACATACAGTGTTAGAGCTGCCGTGGTCCACTATGCCCTGTTACCTCATAGTTTCTATATATCCTATATATTTTATTCTTGGTGCAGGTGTTCCAAGTGTTCTAATTGGTAATGACTGAAATAACCGAGCGCTCAGCATATTCAAATATTTAAATAAGAACTAACAAAATCCCTGAGATCCCTGTAATGAACAATTTTAATTGAATAATTATGCAGATCTATTATTTGAGTGCATTTTTTTATTTAGTACGATACATGAAAATATACTTACAGTTTGTGCGCATGGAGCTCCTTCCTCCATTAAGGATAAAAACAGTTCTTTAGCGAATTCCAAGTTCTGTGGAAAGCAGTCACCAAACAGAAATGCATAGGCTATCCTCACGACAGCTTTGTCACTCCCCATGTCGGCAGCCTGCACAAGATGCCTACAAGCACTGTTTTAACACAACATCAGCACCATTCTTTTATTAAGATATGGGTCTAAAAGAAGCATTCAGTTTATATAATTGCATTTTGACAACTGAATAATTGTTACACTGCTCCAACATATTATATTATAAAGTTTCAACTTTGAATTAATTGAATGTCCAATCAATTATGAGTACACTACTGATGTACAGTATATGTTCTATATATACACACTATTTTAGTCATTACTCTTAATAACGTTACAGTACCATATTGTCACATATCAGCAGGACTCTTACCAGAAAAAGAACTGATATTGGTGTTGTATTTACTGTGAGTGTACTATATACTGTAACTGTGTGAGCTGTGATAGTTATGGTGGACTTACTCCTGTCTCTTTTTCTTACTCCTTGAATTTGAAAGCACTTTTACTGCCTTGGAATAAAGATCATCTGCTATTTTCATGTGCTCCTTCAGCTGCTGTTCCTCTGCTGCTAAAAGCATACAATTGTACAGGCTGCAGGAGTTTTCACCAAGGTTTTGCAAGCTGTTTCCACGGTACTACTATCTGCTACATCAGATTATGATTTTGGATTCGTATCTACCTTTTTATTTAATATACACTATGAGAAAATGTAATTACTAACTTTGATGCAGTTATTCTTCCTTGACAAGGAAGTACTAACTGTTTGCAGATTAAAACATTTACTGTAAGTGACAAAAAGGGAAAGCTAACTAAATCCACAGATTGATCAGGAGGTAAAATTAAATCAAATCAACTTTTAGATTGACAAAAGAACACAAGAACATAAATACAAATATGTACATACTCATATACCTTTTTCCAGTGCTTTGTGCTCAAAACCTGGTAACCTTTTTCCATCTTTGTAACCAAAAGTCTGTTTGCTCTTAAACATTTTCCTTAAGCCTTTTCCCAGAAGAATTATTTGGGAAACATTGGGATATAAATTTTCACCTCTTACATCCTGAAGAATAAAAATGTCACACATTTATTTTGTGTATAATTAGGCATACATGAATAAATATTTGTGTGTTCGTGTTAAATGTTTTATTCACATTTATACAGTACTGTATGTCTTAATTGACTATGTACTGTTAAGATCATACATAAAAAAACAGTGATAGGAATTTCTGTTAATTGACTCTTTTGCCTATTGCTGAAAACATGCCATGTGTCAAGTGTATGTTTTTAGTGATAATAGTGCTGTAAAGTCATTTTAGTCAAATGTTTCCACACTTTGGCACACAGTAATTGTAATGTGCTGAATACATTATACCTCCATAAAGAATTTCTTTTTACCAATATCCCAGATTCATCCACCATGCCTAAATATTTTATACAAACTGAAGTATGTTATTAATATTGAACTTTATCGTTTTCTAAAATTTAATAAAGATATTCACAGCAGATTTAACTCAGTGTGTATGCTTTTCATCACTGGAAAAAAAAGAATAATAAAATTAATGTAATGATTGAACAAAACCCAAAAAACATTTTTCCTACATTTATGGTCATAAATGGAGGCCATTTGGACCTCATCTGGTAGTTAGAAGCTTATTGATCCTTTAATGTCATCCACCATTTTCTGAAAGGTAACTTTCAGGGTATTGGTTTCAGCAACATGTGTGGGTAGCTTGTTCCAAACTCCCACGGCCCTTTGGATAAAGAAATGCCTTCTCTTTTTGTTTTTAAATGTAAGTCTACATAGTTTCAATTGAAAAGTTTCAATCAAACCACAGAAAAAGATTGCTCTCCATTAAATTTTTAATATAACTTGATCTGATGATTATCAAAGGCACTTCATTAAAAAAAAAAATTAAAAATTTTACATGCCTAAAACTAGGTCACATCATATGTATGTATATTAGTTATCCTTTACCTATTATAAAATAAGTGCTGTACTAATACGGAAGTGCCATAAAATGTTTGCTTTCATTGTTGACCACTACTGCAGTGTTGAGAATGGTTATTCAGTCATTGAAAGCAGTCATTAATATGTTCACAAATTTGTGAACTATTCCAAAATAGTCAACTAGCAATGGGTATCTGTATGACACAGTCTTCGTCTTAATGGAACTGTTCATTCGTTGATGTATATAATATGGCATAGTGTGATTGTGGGGAACCATTGAATAGAATCTGGGTTAAAATATTTCCCCAGGCCAAGAAGAAGAAATAGCACATAAAATAAAGTTGTAGCAAAGGATTTCTATGGCTAATACAATAAAGGGGATTTTTCTGTATCTTTGAGGGCAACCATAGACAACTTATTTTAAAAAAAAGTGTACATTTTGCTTTAAATCAAATTAAAGAAAATGCAAATGCTCACAGATATGACTGTGACTGTTGATAAAACAAAGTCATTTACAGTACTAACACATTACTCTGTTATAACAAGAAAAAATAATAAGGATGGCTATTCCTACTTTTAGTCTAACATTACAATAATAACATACTGTATAAAAACATATGGATAAAAAAACACTTTGATACCTTTTTGTCACTTTGTGTATTTTCACTCATTTTAAATCCTTGATCTGTTCCTGCAAAAGTACAAACACACTAGAAAGAGGTCAAAAGAATTCACTATACTCGTGCATTTAATATCATATAAATTAAATAATAGACCAGAGAAACATCTGCTATACAGTAATTGCTAATAACATCAGTGAGTTGACAACTATTCCAAACTTTTAGCCCAATGGACTGGTATTTAACATAAGGTGATGAGAATTTAACTGAAAAGAAAGATTAAAAATAAAACTCTGAAACACCATGTAAAATTATAGTTAAGAAAGAATAATTTCAAAGCACTCTCTAGGACATGAAATACTGTACAAAAGGGTAGTGAGGAACAGGTTTGTCACTTGATGTGTTCCTATTGAATCAGTGCTTGCTTAATTTACAAAGGCAAAACATCAATTAAAAATGTTTGTGTTTCCGTGCGGTACCACATAACTAATAGTTGATAAAACTAAAAAGTTTAAATACCAAAAACGGAAACCTACCTAGTAACCTCTCAGAAATAAAATAAACCTTTCTGTTGTATATATAATACAGATGGCTGAAATTAGACCACGATAAAGCTATATGACATTGCATTACAATAAAGTATTTTAAGTGTACTGTACTTTAAAGTAAAAGGCAGTTATTTTAACAGCTGAGACAGTTGTGCAAACTCATGTTTGTCACCAACTTAATATTTCTGCAATCATATTAGCTCTTTCATAATAGTCTTCCTGCAATGCAAGCAGTTTCATTTTCACTTCACATGCACAGAAACTGCAACTACTGTACCACCTGTGTGATTGCTTCAGAACTGAAACTAAAGTGGTAATTTAAATTATGCTACAAAGAACAATGAGGAACAACTGGGATCAGCACTTTAATAAAGAAAACGCAGCAATAACAAACTCCTAGGAAGTGGTAAGATGGAACTTTGCCCCCTTTACCTTTTCTAAATAAAATTATATCGGGGGACTGTGAACTTCAAAGAGCAAGACCACTAGAATGCTTAGATAAGGCCTTTTTTCTGAAATTGCCCATTTCACTTTTATCTCCATGTTCAGTAATGCATGCAACAACCTCTCTTGTACCTTCAGGACATCAGTAGGTTGTCAGATTTATAGCTGAGGACTCGGAAAATTATGATAGCAAGGGTTCATTTTGTTAGAAATCTGTCACTTGTACTCAGTAAAATATCTAGAGAGAAAGTATTTCTTCAAAGGACTGTGAAAGAGCCCTTTTCCCATTTACTTAGCATGCATTCATATAAATGATTTCACAGTTCTTTATGTAAATATTATTATTTAACAATTTCACAACATGAAATAGTGTAGGCTACATTTAAGAGAATAAACTATATTTGCAGATTATAAGATTAAACAATGCACTAGTGTAGAGTTGTATACAGTAAATAAAAACACTTAATACAAAAAATGTTAAATTGCTGATCCAGTATAAGTTACAATATTATACATCAATAATATGTTTACATATACAATACAATGCAAATCTTTGATGCTTTAGGGTAATTTGAAAAATGCTATTTTCATTCATATGAAACATGCACGGAACAACCTACTGTGTGTAGACTTTAGTATACATACAGTATACATTTCTGTATGGCAACCATTTTAATGGACCATTTTGATTCATGAATTTATAAGAACACCAATATACTCTACAAACCGGAGATAGCAGTAGTATCAGATATGAATTTTGTTTAAAGTACACAGATCTGTTGATTTATATTTGCCCAAACATTAACATTTTCAGTTCTCAACATTACACAACTAGCTAACGGACACTTTATTTTTTACGTGATACCTACTTACTAAAAAGCAGAGAAGCAACAGGAGAAGGAACAGGGCCTTGAGCTTGGACATGTTCTCTTGAGATACTGTACAGCTCTGTAAACCGTAGTCGTATAATTAAATAGGAGTAGTAGCGATTGTGAATTAAAAACAAAGATCCATAACGCACTCTGATTTTCCAGGATTATTTCAACTATACATCCATACGTTTGGCAGTTAAATGTTTTAAACAAGGGTAAAGTCAACGAGAAAGTTTCTCGCCGGCTCCTCTGGCAGTCCGTTATTTTTTAGAATTTGTAACGGTCAGTTTGGTACTGAGTAATCTAGGGGACAGCGTTTTGTCTGTTTAATGCCACATCATAAGGATCGTTAGGCTTAAGGGCGTGATATTGAGAATGATACAGTATTTTCGTAAACCTCTAAAATGCATTTTATGGAAATGTCTACAATAAATTCTACAGTTAACAGGTGGCACGACTGCGTCCATGCATCGGATTTTAGGCTTCAAATGTTAAATACACGTTTCCTCTGTTACAGTACAAGCAATACAGTAGGTTGCATATCTTGATTTGCGTTAGTTTTTCAGTCCCATCAATTACATAACGCAGACGATAAATTGCACTGGTTAAAATCACGTCCTTGTTTTCCGACAGCTGTCATACCCGCGGATGATCTTAGCCTACAGTACTTGTTAAGTTAGTGCTGTAGCGTTGGCTTGAATTCATTTGGCTTTCGTACAAAAAAACAACAACGGGGGAAACACTTGAGCAAAATGAGTCAGCTTCACACCGCTTACAGTGCACTGCACGTACAACATATAAATCTGCCATTGCATGCAATATCTAGCACTGTTCGCTGTTGTTCGAAGATGCATCATGGCTTTAGTATTCATTCTTGCGATTTCGGCACCACCAAACTTCAGCCGCCGTTGCTACACAACCCTGGACTGTAGTACGGATAAAAAAAAAGCGTCAACCTATCCTGTATTATGCGCCAGCTCTTGTATTTGAGTGCCATTTGAGCCCTCCCATAAGCATCCCGCTTCCTGGTATAAACTGGCCAACCAGCGGCAGCATATTGAGTCTTTCGGCACGACTCCGGTTAGGTTGAGCAGGCCGGGGGTCCTAGTATATTTTGACTGCTTCTCAGGTGAGGCATTTCGTTCAGGAGCTGTTTCACTTTCTCCGAGTTTCCTAACACACTCGCGGTGAGCCTGGGGCTGATAAACTCAAAAAACAATACTCACAAGCCCAACCATCACGGCAACATGAGCAAAAAGAAAAAGGACTGGAAGGTGGAAAAAGGTAAGCCTTTTTTTTGTACCATGACATATTATTTAGCACTGTCTCAGTGCTTCTGCATCCTGAACTGAATCATCATAATTACAGCTACCATTTCTTACAGTTTAACACATCTGAGCATGCTGGGTGCACTGCTTGAGATGCAGCATACCAACAGAGTACTACAGCAGCACAACGCACAATGCTGTTGAGGCAATTGTCTTTCCAGAATTTTATGTTGCAGTTATTGCATGACATTTGCTTTATCCGCAACATCTCCAGTATAGCATGCATTTACAACCAAATGATTCAATTGCAGGTTGATAGTTTGTTTATTGACTAGGCCATTGATTCCCCCCACCAAGTTCACCTGTTAGATTGACCATGACATACACGAGAACCGAGGTTTTATGGAGCTGCATTATCAATTCAGTGCACACGTAACAGCTTTTCGTTATAGTCCTTAATCTTGCTATATAAACTAGAAAAAGTAAAAGAAAAGTTTCGAAAAATAACGGTATAAGAATACCAAAATGTTTTTGCTGAAGTATGGTTTGCATTCCTGCAAGCAGTTTCCTAAGATTGAGGACGGTTGCAAGTCGTTCTTAGTTAGCCAAGTTTAACATCAATTAAAACAAACGACTATCGTTTGGGGGGGAAGAGCTTCATGCGTATGGCATGAAAAAGGCACTCACAGAAATGTTATAAATGGCCCTCTTAAGCGTCTATATTATTGAAGAAACAACTTTGTCCAGAGCACTTAGAGAGCAAACTACGAGCAGTTTTGGTTAAGCAGCAGTTTATTGAAAGTAAAATTTTGCTTGGCTTGTGCTGGAGATGAACGTTTTGACCAGATAAAGGACGGGTGTTAATACGCAATGGATCATGTAAGAAATCTTGTATACAGGGAAAAAAGCTCATTAATTAGACCCGGGCTTGTTGACCTGGTGCTGAGAATCCACACAGCTGCCGGGGTAATGTCACGTGCGCTTGAATTGATTGAACGTACAAGTTGCATGGTTTTGCTTTTCAGTTTGTTTGATGTTTGTAGATGATATATTTTTTTTTAATTGAAAAGCAATGCGATTCTGAACCGAGACCAATTAATCCTGTTGTTAGGCCACTTAAGCGTTCAGTTGTGTAACGGCGCTCGACCGAAGTAAAATCCAGCATGCGTTTGGGTACTTCGGACCAAGACCGACATCTCCAGGCCAATAGTAAATGGCAAACTTGCGTCGTTTTATAAAGCACTAGATCAAATCATACTGTATATGCAGTATTGTAAATTACCTGCCATGGAACTCTGTGACAGCAGTTCTTCGGTGTGAGCTTCCAGGAACGTCTGCAGGACCCTGACAAACTCCGGACAGGTACAGGTTTCTATGTCTTCTGTAATCAAAGTATGCTCCGCAGGGTTCAGCTGTAAAAGTGACATCGGCAAGTCCAGTCTTTTTATTGCTTGCTGATCAAGAGAAAAAAGGGATTTACTAAACGATGGCTGGACATTTTAATCACACACCTTGAAGTTGAGGCCAGCTTGCATCAGTGTAAGTGGACTCACTGATGCACATTGAGGTCTTTTTGGTACTAACCACTATGAGTTTGGCATGAGGAAATGAAGACCTGTCCCTTTTTGTATGCTCATTCCAACACATTATGTCCCAAATGATGTGGAGGTAGAGTTCACCCTGTTATCAACAGATGTGTAATTGTTTGCCAGTGAATACAGCTGGAACCCAATTACTGGAGTTCCACATGATGTGACTTCCAGGCAATCTCCATCATTTCTGGATGTCTTTTCAGATTCGCATGAGTGTATGCAGGGCCACAGACGTAGGCCTGCCTTGTGAAACCACATGGCTGGCTCCCTTCAGTGGGTACGTTCTGATACCTGGTCAAATTGGAGGATCACTTTTCAGCCCAGGAACTGTGCTGAAGATCACCGAAGTGCGCCTGCTAAAATGTGATCTTGCTGAGAGGCTGTGAATCTCTTATGCTTACCCGTTATCTTTCCTGAGACCAGTGTTTTTTGTAGGTTCAGGAACCTTGCAAGGAAATGTTCATTCATCTGGGTAGGATTTATATTTGCATCAGTGAAATGCAGGTGCTCCATTGTGCTGTAGGGTTAAGTTTGGGGATCAGATTTATTTTCAATTAAGAGGTTACAAAAGTAAGTGATACCACAAGCAGAGCAGTATGGTGGCAGTATTAATTTCAATAGGTGGGTCTCTGAGAAACATCACTCATTCACATACATAAAGGTAAAAGAACAGTGCTTTTTGTAGCATGGTAAAAAGAAAAATGCCAGAAGAGCTGAAACTAGACTCTTGTGGTATCCCTCTCTATAAATCACCAAACAGCTAAGATGCTTGCTGGCTCCATACATCCACTTTCTAATCAGTTCTTCCATTTCAGGGTCATGTGGAAAGCAGAGCCTATACTGGCAAGCAAGGGGGGCAAGGCCAGGTACACCACGGGTGTGATGCCAGTCCATCGCAGGGCAGACAAATACAGACGTGCACACACTCACACCTAGGGCCAGTTTTCCAAAAAGCCTTTACTGACTCCAGAACTGAAAATTCTCACCAAAACTCCCGTCATCGAAAATGGAAAATCCGAAGTACCATGGTCCTATGATTCATTTTCTGGTTGCTTCCTTGCTTCTCGTGCTGTCTTGTTGAGCGCAAAGTGGAAAGGCAATGGGTCCTCGAAGACATTGCATATTGACTGACTGCTGGAAGCGTCTGCTTCCTGCCTTTTTTATCCATCACCTGACCAGTTGTCTTCTTTCAATTGGTCAGGTGATGAAGGACAGGCAGGTCATTGCCCACAGCTTTCTGGGGAATGTGGTTCACACAAGAACTGTCATTTTCTTTACTAGTGTGTAATCGTGATAGGATCTGTGACTGAAAATGCTATGCTAGTTGTGTGATACGGGTATAATTAGATTTGTGCAGCTCACAAAGGCTTCATTCATTCAGTATATTGATTTATGTGATTTACCAACTCATTTGGTTTAGTGAGACTATAGGCATTGAGTCTAATGAGTCAACACAGGACGTGATTCGGTTTTGATCCCAGAGCTCAGTAATTAAAGGGTGGAACTTGGAAACTTGAGTCGACTGCGATACAGTAAATGTTAAGTAAATGAATTTATTTGGCTGGTTATTTCAGGCAGTTGTGTTGCTAAAAGCAATATTAAAATAGATAATACTTTATTAATCCCGTAGGGAAATTGATGAACTGATTCATCAACTGAATTGATGAATTGATACTAAGCCTTCAATATATTGTAGGCTTTTCTAATTTTAGGGGGTTTAAAGTGTAGGCTTCATGTTTTCAGGATATTTTACATCCTTAGTAGTGTTGTTCAAATAAACCTAAGACGCTTCGCAGAATAAGGCTGTTCAACTTTATGTACTAGTTATAGAAATAGGGCAAGAGACTTAAGCAGAAACTACAGCCAGACCTTTCACCCATTTCTGACCTCCCTTTGTGTGGAAAGTCTCTCACAACCCAAAAGGCTTGGAAGGAATATCATTACAAGGGGATGAAGCTGTCTAGAAATGCCACCAAACGTATGTTAGTATCAGGTGTAAAAGTGCCATAATTTCTCTTGCATCATTGTTTCTTTCTGAAAATGCAAATAACCTAACATCATTATAGTATTTATGATCCACTTCCATAGAAGTTATTTTGAGTTGTGGCACTGGTCCACAATTAAACACATTTATGGTAACTTAAAACTCTCAAATGGTAAAAACTGGCATACAGTGTTAATTTGGACAGACTTAGTCAACAGTTCATTCAGTGCTAGTAGCATAAGACGTCACAACCCTCAAGCTCTAAAACTAAATGTTGGTGTTTTTCCAGAGTGTAGATTATTGTTCATAAGAAGTGTTATGTAAAGCTGAAAATAATATTCACTTGAGGCTGTCTGGATGGCGCAATTAACTTTTGATCCCTTCATTGCGCCTATTATAGAAATACATATTTCCTAGTGACACAAAAATTGGCCAAGATTTTAGAAATAGGAAAACATCCTACATTTCTCTCTCTTAGTAGTTCCAAACATTCACAATGCACAACTCAAAGTGCTTTCATGTAACTTCTAAATAGAAACAAAAGCTGCAATTGTGCCTCTTTACTAAATAATAAATATTGCTAACAGCCTACTTGGGAATAATCCATTACAAGCATATTTGTGTTAAAGCACTGACTGGAACCTGTCGGAGACAAGATTATTTCTATATCTGACAAGTCTTTGGGAAATGTAAGAGGTGGTCTTAAATTAAGTGGTGAAATATTTAAATATTGCTGTCTTTATTTTAACGCAAATCCTCTGGAATCCTAGAAGTTATTTAAAGCATTAATGCTGCTAAGAATTTCTGTAATATAAAAATAAATTTGAACCCATTCCTAAGATCTGATTAAAATCAGTCTTTTCTGGATTTATGGCTGTTCTTTCTGCTGCTGGGATTTTGTGGTTGTTCAGTCTGAATCGGCTTCCTCTCCTGTATGCACCTCTGTTGAGATTCATCACTTGCTAGAAACGAGATTTCAAATATGTTGTTGCTGTTCAAAAGCTTGCAGTCGAAGTCCTAATATCTAACTTTCAATTCAAAATTACTTTGGAATTCCAAAGCGGTTTCTAAACTGCACTCAATGAATTTGTCCCTTTTTGTCTTTACAGAACGTCTACAGAGTCTGGGACTTGAAGAAAGGCGCAAAGAATATCGAGGAAATTATGTCCCACTGGAGAAAATTCCCACGTGGAAAAAATCAAAACAGGAGAAAAGTAAATGTAAATACTGCTATTCTAAATCTGTATTATTATGATATTTTCCAACATGGGAAAGGTTGCTCATTTTCACTTTTTAAATGTCAGGATGCTTTTGCTGTTGTTAAGGTGCTCAGAAGTATAACTCCAAAATATTTCTCATTTCATTTGTTTAACCCTTAATTGCAGTTCTACATTTAAAATAGGTAAGGATAAAAGCATAGAAATTACTTTCCAGTTCTTAATGAAAATCAGTATATTTGAGATTCTCCATAGAAGGTATATTAACAGGCTTAGATGTTCTGTTAGATTTCCTCTCATGTCTGTCAGTGGTGGGTTTGCTGAGACAAGGGCAGAAGATGAATCTTCACATTGCTCGTTCTGGTCTGTTTATACTACGGTGGGTTTATAATAGACCGACAGTGATGTTCTGGAGCACATGGATAAAATCAGGATGTTTAATTGTGCGTTTTAAATCACCCCCATTGCCAGTACAATAGTAATTGATACATTACAGGTATATTCTGCCCAAGATGTCCCTTAAAACAAATGTAGCATGATGATGGCAGTATGCACAACGTATTGATTGAACTGATGTGTTTGAGCTATAGTGGTCTGCTCCATTTTGCAGATTAGTCTCTTGTCCGAGAATTGAGTGTCGCAGATCTGTGTAAGAAAATCAAGCTCAACAGCTGCCCTTTGATAAGAAGGCACAGGCATTGGAATGATTTGAGGTCTTTTCTCTCTGAAAACTAGCATTGACTAAACGAAGCATTGTCAGCTGTTTACGGAAGAGTAGCTTTGTCTCTACAAAAACAGTGAGGAATAAAGTTAGTGACTGAATTTATTATAATTGCATATCGGTTCCTGAATGAGTTTGCTAAGTGATTGAGCATTACATGTATTAAACTCTTTATTTTACAGCATACTTAAAAATTAAAAATGAAACAGACCAAAGTTTTGAAATCTTAATTTTATGATGGAGCTGTGGTAGTGCCAAATCCAGGTAAATAATGTTGACACCTACAGTAAGTTATAATTATTGCTTGTTTGTTTTGCAGGTGCTGTTAATGACTGCCGTGAAAGTGTGCTGAAAAATACATAGGGGAATTAGCTTGATTGTATAGTAAACAATCTTGATTTGCTAGTAACTAGATTGCAAATGTGCAACAGACAGGTTCTGTTTGTAAACTATTTAATCATTCTTTTTTATACAGTTCATAGGCTATAGATAAAAGCTTGTAGTCCCCATTCATAAGCGTTAAACTCCAGTTATGTCTTTTGAATTCCCTTTGTGGGTTGTCAACTTCTGTACTTGAAGTTTTATAGGCTGTTGTATGTCAGCAGCACCTAACATGCTGTTAAACTACTTGATTTAAGGCACTAGTTATTTCATCTGGATTGTTAGTTGTACAATGAAAACCTGCAGGTACTGGAACTTTGGAGTGGGATATCCTGCTCTAGAGCCCTGGGAATGCTTTTCCAGTTAGTCTTGTAGGTCACCTGCAAGTATTTGTGAACATTTATAATTTATATTGATCAATTAGGTTGTTTGTTTAATTTAGGGATCTCTGAGCTTTGAGGGCTAAAAAGACTGTTTTGTTTTAAATAATATAACAAGTCCCCTGCTAAGTCAATAGCAGTGAATTCCTTCCAGCTCTTTAGAAGTTGATTTAGAGATTTTCCAGAACCAAGGTTGGGGATCCCTGCTGTGAAGCATGTCCAAGCTTTGCTGCTACCCATCTCGGTAGTTATGGAAGAAATTACTTTCTCCACAGTAGTCAGACTTTTTTTTTCTTTTCCTTGTCGTTCTCTATTCATTTTCCCTGGCCTTCACTTGAATTACTCTCACTCATTGTGACCTTTCTGGCTTAGACAGGATGTGGCTTCAGGGTGCATCTGAACCTGAGTTTATTGGGTGACCTGACCAGTAGTTGTTCAAGCAGCAGATCTGGATTCTTAAAGTAACTGTGGTGGGATCTCGGGAAAAAGCATTGATAGATTTCTGCTTAAAACATATAAAAAATGCTTTTTAGGCTGAAACAAAATATTTTATGTTCCCCAATATTGAGATGGATATTAATAGAATTTCTATTTCAATGGAGTGGAATCCAAAACAAATGAATAAAATGTTTAAAAATTAAATGAATTTAATCAATTTGATAGATTCTGTGGTCCTTATTTGTAAACTTAACAAATGGATATTTGCACATCTATAGGTTTGTGAGCAGTGATTTGAATGTTAAACTTTAATTTGGATCTGGACTGGACCAAGTCACTGTTTTAATCTCATAAACGTATATCCAACTACGTTTATGCTGGAAAACATTGTAAGAAACAGTGGTTTCAGGCACTATTGATAATGTTAATTTAATTTAAGGTGTGGGATACTTTTAAACTCAGTCAGTGCTTCTTGGCTTTCTACTTTTCATGGTCTACTTAATTATCTGAAACTGTAATTAAGGCCCACACTTACAGAGCTGTGGGAATATACACATGTAAGGAACAAGTAGAGGTAATTCCACATTGAATAGAAGATAAAGAAAAAAATGCAGTGTTTCGACTTGTACTGTAGCAACACATTCTTCACATGCAAACTCAGCTTTTGATTACCTATCAGAAATTGATGTTGGCACCGAATCAGCAATTTGAGTCTGTGTGAAATCTTCCGTTTTATTCTGAAGAAATTCAGATTTGGAGAGAGAATGTAGATTTTCTTTAAGTCACAGATGATAGTTTTAATACAACCATATGGAAGAAACAACAACTTGGTTCACTAATATTGTATTAAACTCTTCCTTAAAATTTAGACTTTAGCAAAATGGCTCTAGGTCACATTGCCTATTCAGCTGTGGCTGAAACTCTTAAAGGCATGTCTGAAAATAGATGAAGTGTTAAAATGTTTTGTTTAACTTGAGTTTTCCTCCAGTTCAGTTTAAATGGAAGTTCAACTCCTGGGCTCTACGGGTGGCTAGAGACCCTGTGATGTGAAATAATATAAAAGTGTAATTTAAAAGGGAGGAAGTCTTTTCCGTTGGCTCCAGATGTTAAAGCATATAAATAAGTCCTAGATGCACAACACCAAATTCTTCTATTGTTTTAGCATAGTCATATCTGCTTATCTGTGGAATTCAAAATCAAATTCTCGATTTATACAGTAATATTCAGGGCGATTTAACTAGAACTGTACTTACAAAGGCTAAATGGGCGGGAGAAATAATAATGCCTTAATTTCTCTGAAACACTGGGCAAAGTAAAACTAGAAATTATAGACTTCTGCAGTCTTGGATAATGTGACTGGGTAAACAAATGGTTTTTTTCCCTTTAATGTGCCACACAGACACAGGTTCACTTTAGTGGAGGCTTAGTATAGAGGGAGCAGGTGGCAATACATGTATATAAAGGCCAGGGGAGTAAGGGTCTTGGCATTGCTTGAATTTAGTGCTAAATTGTTCTGAATGAAATACCACTAAAACCAATGTATTTGGGTGAGCTCCCCTTTGTGTTAATGGAGAGTAAATATGGGTATGTCTTGGGTGTTCTCCTGCAGGCTAGTAAGAAAGCTATTTAAAGAAAATGGCATTTTGATCATAAGATGAGTAGATTGAAATTGCAAAAGCAATTTATATACTAGAAGAAGTAACTTCGCTCTCAGATTGCAATCAGGATAAATCATGAAATATTAGGCTGTGTGGATTTCTTTTGTATTTGTTTTGAGATCTATAATTACTGTAAAGATTTTTTGGCCTCAGATTTATTGGCACAATGTAAATAGTACAGAATTTAACAACTGGAAATTAGAAAATAAAACTGAGTATTTTCTTTAAAGGGATTTAAAATGTCTGTCTTCTAAAGGCAACCATGGGAAATGTAAATCAATGGTAATTCAATTAATATTTGCTCCTCATCCTTCTGCAAGTGTGTTTTGTAGTCATTGCAGCTGTTAGACCCTTATTATTAATTTATTTGGCTGTTGCTTTTTTTATCTTATTTCTTGCAGATCGCGAGAGGGCAGTAGCACACAGATTGAGAAACTGTTTCGAGTTAGTTGCTGAATGTCTTTGTCTTCACTGCTTATTTCTTTTCTGAGATTTGGGTTTCAAAGGCATCACTTTTGCTTGACACCTTTTCTGTTCTTTTTTGGAAAAATCACGAGATTCCATTTAAATTAACGCAAATGGAAAACCAAAAGTAAAATTTGAACAAGTTCGTTATCCAAGAAAAGAGTCTTTAAACGGGTAACAAAATAATTGTAAAACCACAAATGAAATATTTTCTTGAACTGGTGTTTTTTTTTACTTAAGAAAGATTAAAGAATCAATACATTGTCTGCTTCTCAACAGTTACAGTATATAACTAAATTTCCTTCCAGCTGGTTGAGAAAACCTAAACAATTCTATTGAGCGGGGAGCACTGTACTCGTGTGGGCTCTGCTAAATCTACTGTCTTTTGTTGCAAGATAGTTGGACCTCATCCTACTGATGAAGTACATGTGATTACAGGCTCATAAGTGGTTTAATTGGTAAAGGAGGGTGTTGTGATGACAGTCTCTAGTCCCAGGCATTACCAGTTTTAATCTGGGATATGTGTTTGACTGACTGGAATATACCAAGTTGTTGCCTATAGTTGGCCTGAATGATATAGGGTTTCTGCTGGATTGAGTAGCAAAGCAGTGATCCCACTGCAATGTTATTTGTGATAGTTGTCTCCAATTTGCTGCTTTAGCTCCATGCACTACTAGTAGTACTGTTGTAGTATGAGGAGATGCAGATGGCTAGGAAGTGCATGTTTCAGATGACATCTGGGGACTCCAAAAGTAGAGGCCAGTGAAAAGAAAAGTAACTGGCAGTTCATTATGTAAAAACGTTGCCTTATTGAAGCTGTGTGACTCTGGAGTTACAGGTAGTTCCAGTTTTTGTTTAACCCTGCTTGAAAGTGTTGCATCATCTGAATTTTATTCAGCATGTCATTGAGGTGTTGATATATAATATAACAATTGCGTGTTAGTTACAGAGTCCTACTTTATAGTTCAGTTTCGCTCAAGAATTGTTTTTAAAATACATTGTGTACTGTACATTAAATGTTCCTACTTTGCTCTTTGGTACTGTAAGATTTGTTTTTGCGTTAGATTGAAAGCTGTTGAGGAATTACTATGAGAAGCATGAAGTCTTTAGCAGTGTATTTAAAAAGAAATACAATATTACGATTAAGTATAACAAGTAAATGTTAACATTGATTGCAAATAACTATGATCAATTCTTCCTTTGATCTCTTGTTTCCCTCTTGTTGCTGTTGAACATCCATCTGTTATTATCGGGTTTCTCCTCCTGGAGAGACCAGTGGCTTCCAGAGTCTATCCTGGGAGCGCAGGGCACAAAACACAACTGAGCTCTGCCCCTGGAGAGGACCAGTCAATCACAGGGCAGCAGAGAAAAGGACCATTTGAAATTACCAGTCAAATCTAGTTCGAGTAACAGGGTTCAGTGTGCAAGAGATGTCAGCCCACCCTTGAAACTTGCGCAGTGTAGAATTCCGTCATTAGTCATTTCTGCTCTTTTGCAGATTTTCGGTTTAGGAATTCATCCACTTGCAGTAGCTTGTGGAGGTGAATGGTGATTAGCAGAAATGAGTGGAATTGCCTGTCAAAGTTCTAACCAAGATACATTTTGAAATGTCTCCTTATAGTGATTAACAATGTTTGTGTGAGTGGACAGGGTTCATTGAGACTTTACCTTCTGATATTCAGTCTACTTTTGAATAAACTGTACAGTCTTAGTTGTTGTGCACATTGTTTTAATTGTGCCAAAATTAAATTTAGTAACTCAATGTGCATACTGTTGTTGGCTCGGTGAAGACCTTTGCTGAAGTTTTTAAATATGTACATTGCCTACCTCTAGGCATGTCCTATAGAGCAATTGGCAAATTATTTCCATATGGTATCATCATAATACGATAGAAAAATTTATTTTCACGGAAGCCTCTGTTTTTTCAGCTCTGGCCTCGCAACATTATTTTGCCTCCGCGAAATCCCATGTTTGTATTGAAATTTGTTTGGAGGTTCTGTTTTATGAGTAGTTGAGTGAAAAGGAGTACAGATAAGAATGAACCCTGGACTGGATTTGGCCACCTTACAGGACATTCTCTGAGGCGAGATTAGAACGATCTCAATTCAGTCTAATTTTTCAGCTTTTACTTCAGTTTTGGTACAGGACTCACTCAGGCTTGTTTTTTTCAGATAAAGAAGAAGTGTCTGAAGTGGCAGCATTTCATCTGAGTGACAAAGTTTCCCTCTACAAAGGAGACATCACTACCCTTGAAGTTGATGCTATCGTGAATGCTGGTAAGTCACCTTCAGGGATCTTGTTTGATGCTTTTATGTTGAGGTGGGTTAGTTATTATATTGCTGGAATACTGCATGAGTTCCTCAGTAACCAATAAAGTTGCTTTATATGATTATATCTATCTCGATCATTGACATACTGTCCTGTTTTAGTGTCCATCTACAGGTAGTGGACAATAAAATGGAAACACCTGGGTAAATAAGTGAAACCAAGTACACTGAAACCAAGGGCTTCTACACAGGTGTGCTTAATATAATGAAATAATGTGTGAGAGGTAACTCTATATTTGACGTAAAGTGTTTCTCATTGTGCATTTATTCAACTCTTCCTAGAGGTCTTCAAAAAGTGCCAATTCAGTCAAAATCTGTTTCTTGCCCTCAGGAGCTTCTGAGTTTGCATATCTGGGTTGTCATTCAATATGAGACTTGAGTCTCTGGAATTGATTCTGCTGGCTGTTTTCCAAGTCATATTTTCAAAATTCATTGAATAAAAAAGTGTTTTTTCTCCTTTTTTAAATGTATACAAATTTTAGTGATCCTAACCTTAGATCAGATCTATATACACCGAAGAGTAGTGGATTGTTTAATATAATGAGTAAACGGTCCAGTGTTCAATTATGAAGTACTTTAACGTCTGCTTATATCTGTATTGACAGTAATATCTTGTTTTGTTCAGCCTGAATCTCTTCAAGTGACTTTTTTTTAATTTTAATTTGAGTAATGCACAGAACACAGAGACAACAAAATAAAACCTTACATAAGTAAGATGCACCATGCTCTTAATAAAAGTACAACTTGAAGCCAGTGATATTTTTTGTGGTCAGGCTATGATTCTGTTTGTATATCTAGATTGCCCTCTTGTGTAGAATATGGGTACTGCAGACTAGAAATTAATATTACAGTAAGTGCTTCAGAAATCATTTGTGAAATCAACAAGTTCAATGTCAAAGACAGTTGTACTAAGTAGAATTGTATTTTTTTTTCCTTTCGTTTATCAGTAGAAAGTATAGCATGGATGTATTTTCAATAAGCATGGCTCTTGAACATTTTGTATCATATGAATTTTGTAAAATTTGAATGGAAATGTATTGCATTGACTGCATATGAAAATTGTGCATTTTAACCTCTTGAAGAGTGACAGAATTTGATATCTTTAGTACATAAAGTCATCTATGATATCTAGCTGAAGCTACTGTATGCTACTGGGGCCATAGTAATGAAGTGAGCTGGCATATGTAAAAACCAAGGTTGTAGTTTTTTTCTAAAGCTCTGTTCTGTCTTTGTCTCCTTTCTGTCTCGGCATTTAAACTGCTATTTTAGAAACATACAGTGTAACGGTCCATTGCAGACATTAGACTAAGCTATGTTTAATGGGCTTTGTCAAAGTGCCAGTGACAGTGCATTGAATTTATTCAGAAGGTGAACTGTCCGACCCTTCACTGAATGTAGGATCATTGTTGGTACTGGAGTGCGGTATGGGGTCTACTAATAGATTTAAACACAGGTTCATGCTTATAAAACAGGGTTAATAAACCAAATTAAAAAAAAACATGCAAAATCATCAGGATTTGTTTTTTTTTAATATATTAAATTTGTGGATCTGTTCCAGTTGGGCTTTTATTTTTTAAATCAAGAAGAAAACAAGATGGCTAAAAACCAATCAAAGAAAAATATTATATAATGTAGGAAATGTGCTTTTCAGACAACTGGTCGTATCACATTGCTTCATAGGTGAAACAGGGTTTTTGGACCTCTTTTGGACAGAAATACACCCTACCGGGACCTTTCTTTTGCTGGTAAATGTGATTATCTCTGTATTTCATCAGTAGCAGCAGAGTTCATCAAAAGTATGGAAATGCACTTCTTCTGCTTCGGAAGTGTGTCTGAGTAGATGCTGCTTCCAGCCTTTGAAATCCAATTCTGCCTATGCCTGGGCCTGAGCTTCTCCTGAGCAGTGTTTGTTTTTGCCAGGTGGACTCCTTTATTAGAAACTAAATGCTGAAATTTGTGTGCAGCTGGAGAAACGAAAACAAATTCCAGAGATGTTGAGTGCTTTTTGGCTAATCACTCTTCATAAGGGAGTGCTGAAGAAGCAACTGTGAAAGCTGGCTCACCAGTTCACATAACAGCCGAGAGGCTCCGCTGAGCTAAATCTTGTGCAGTGCTAGTACAATTAAATATCACTGATAGGAATCAGGGGGAAACTGATGGAAACAGCTTTCTTGTTTGGAGAATGGAGGTGATGCGTGTGCATACCAGGCAGACTTTGTTTTAGCCTTTCACATCTGAAATGAAATGACTGTAATGAATGTGGAAGGAAAAATTGAATTGCTATGGATCTCTGCAAAACTATGTTTTCAGTAATTATGTGATAAGCAGATGGTAGTTTTTGCGTTTCCTTGCATTTGTTCTGCTTCTCTTGAATGTTGGAACACAAGAAGAAAAAAATGAATTAACTTTCTTCTATAAAAAAGCATAGATTAGTTTTATAGTGATAAAATATGCTAAATTTGATCAGTTCGGAAGGCAGCGTGCTTCTAGGTTTTACACAGGCACAGCAGCAACTCGATAAAGATCCAGTGGTTTCTGGTGTGGGAGTTATTGGATTGAGTTTTAAAAAATCCTAATGTCAATGTGGACATTGTCAAACACTGAAAACTGTATTTCCCATTGAAAAATCAAGAAAGTGTCTATCAAATGCTTCTATTTCAGTTTTGATCATTTCATATTGAACACATTTGTGTTTCTTTCACAAATAAAGTGTCTACAACAGTAGAGACATAACAGTGAAATACTTTGAAGGCAGTTAAAAATGGCGAAGGTGAAAAATAAGCAGATTTACGTATCTGGAAAATTTAAACAAAGCGAATTAAACAAGCAGCGTTTTTGATTAAGTGAAAATAAGTGAGGGGTATAATAGGTAGTAATTAGTTGACTGAGTGTCCATAGCATGTTTTTAAAGTATACTTTAATATTGCAAACCTTATCCTCATTACTACAGACATGATAAAATAATTGAGTAACAAACTTATAGAACCTCAGATGATCTCTTGTATGTTTCACACCTCAAGAGCCCTTTGGGAAATTAGTGAGGAATTTGTTAAATCTGAAACTGCCGTTTTGAAGTGTGGGTATGACGGAAGAAAAAAAGAAACGGTACATAAAATTAAACTTGGAAAATAAATGTTCATCCAGCTGTGTAGAAAGCTGTGCGATGTTTGTCATGCACTGAACCTGCATGCTTTGGTTTGAACATCTCAGTAACTTCAGCAACATTGACAACCACTTTCAGCTGGTGTGTTTGGTAAATTCAGAGATGAGAGCTTATAGAGGATTTTGCCCAGGGGAAAGTAATCCCCTCACATCTCTGATCAGACTAATAGGAGAGTTGGCCTCAGGATAGAAAGTAGCCCTTATGGATTCCCTCAGTACTCCTTTAGGGTAACTCTCGCACCCCCTCACCCTCATGGCCTCTCGGTCGCTGTACCACCTGTTGCTCTGCTTCCTCCATTCCGCAAGAGGAAGATGAAAGGGATTCGCCTCCTCAGATGTTCGGAAGCACTTTGTAGTCCCTGATGGTAGAAATGTGGCCTAAAGATGAAGATTATTATCTCTGCTGTGGCTCTAGCTTTGAAGAACATTTTACACCCCCTACTGGATTTAGATCTGCCGCAGTTGATCTGAATTTGTTTGGAATCGAATATCTACAGTATGAGGTACACTGCTGTTAGGTTTCTGGGTAACTTTAATGCTAAAAATTAAACTAGAACTCATGACAGATCAGCTTAATTTCCACAATCAACGGATTAATATGAGCTGTGGGACTGCGTGAAGTTCCATGTACTGGGCACACTATATACCAAGATCATCAAATTGATTGTCTCATGAAAGACTGTTTTTTAAGATGGTTTCTTGCCTTGAACACTCTTCGCAGTGTGAGTAACTTTCGCTTTGTTTTGCCTCACAGTTTGAGAGCAGAACTTGTTTGTGTTCTTCCTAATCAAGATGTTATTCAAACCAAATGACCAGTTGCTTGATGAGTAATCATGGACAGGGCCATAATGTGGCCCAGCAAGTTTCAGACCTCTGTGATGTTCAATTTCAGTTTTGAGAGCAGCAGTGTTATCAAGCTTTGCCAAAATGGTTTCCAGATCATATGACTCGTTGGGGTAATGTTCACTTGGAAAACTTCCCTTTTGTCTTTAGACTCCTGCCAAATTTCCTCATTTATGGATTTCATAGGCATTTGAAAATAACAGCAGAAGATATCTGAACAATAACAATAGGGTTCCCACAGCTGTTACCTGGTCCACTGAAAATGGGTTTTTAGTATAAAACTCTGGCCACGAAGGAGTAGGTCAGTAACTAGGGGACTATATTGACTTTGTTTGCATATAGTTGGCAGTGTTGACAGGTTTGATGTACTAGACTAATCAAGGTTTTCAAGCCTTCTGGGCACAAACCGTGGGGCAGGAGCCAATGAACAAAGATTAAATGGCACACAGTTTCTGTAAACGCCCATAAATGACCACGCAGTTCAGAAGTGACATTGGATTGCAGGACGGGTTTAACTGTCCTGAGACTGAAGAACAGGGGAATAACAGACAATGGCAATCTTTATATAGTCAGTTCGTTGGTGATCAATTCTTAGTTCTGTTTACGTCCAACCTCCCCCGTCAGAGAAAGCGTGGGGAGAGGATGTGGGATGCAGGTTGCACAACTGGGCTCAGGAGTGGACTTGGAGATGAGGTGGGAACTCTGCAGAGAAAGGCCCAGGCATTGTTTTCCTCCCACTACCCTATGTTTGTTGCAGAGAGATGGGGTAGAGGGAGCATGATGAGACCATATTGTTTAGAACCGGCTGGTCTGGAGAGCCCTCTATTGGCCATTGGTGAAGTAAGATGTGTCTGTCTCTGTCCCAGGATATTTGAGCTTATTTGTGAGACTTTTGGACTTTTGTTTCTTTTGGGATGTTTGGTTTGGGTTACCTGAGGCCATGA